TATATGCTAATTCCTTTGTCAAGGCGCTTTGTTTCTTACACAGCTTAAAGGTCGTGATCTGAGCGTGGTTTTTTTCACTCCAGCGCTGTCCTCCAGACAGTCTCGTCCCTTCACCTGATGAAGGCCGCTTGTGTTGTGGCCGAAACGTCGTGATAATTTTTATTGTTTTATATATATTTTATTATTTTGTTGTTTCCCTTCAACGTGACCTTACCGAAAGAACTAAGCATATGGCTTCTATTTAGTAGTGGACTGACTCATACAGCGGTAGTGACTGGCTTCCATCTAGCAGTGGACTGCCTCGTACAGCGGTAGTGACTGGCTTCCATCTAGCAGTGGACTGACTCGTACAGCGGTAGTGACTGGCTTCTATTTAGTAGTGGACTGACTCATGCAGCGGTAGTGACTGGCTTCTATTTAGTAGTGGACTGACTCGTGCAGCGGTAGTGACTGGCTTCTATTTAGTAGTGGACTGACTCGTGCAGCGGTAGTGACTGGCTTCTTTCAAGCAGTGGACTGCCTCGTACAGCGGTAGTGACTGGCTTCTATTTAGTAGTGGACTGCCTCGTACAGCGGTAGTGACTGGCTTCTAATTAGTAGTGGACTGCCTGGTACAGCGGTAGTGACTGGCTTCTATTTAGTAGTGGACTGACTCGTACAGCGGTAGTGACTGGCTTCTATCTAGCAGTGGACTGACTCGTATAGCGGTAGTGACTGGCTTCTATTTAGTAGTGGACTGCCTCGTACAGCGGTAGTGACTGGCTTCTATCTAGCAGTGGACTGCCTCGTACAGCGGTAGTGACTGGCTTCTATTTAGCAGTGGACTGACTCGTACAGCGGTAGTGACTGGCTTCTATTTAGTAGTTGACTGACTCGTACAGCGGTAGTGACTGGCTTCTATCTAGCAGTGGACGGCCTCGTACAGCGGTAGTGACTGGCTTCTATTTATTAGTGGACTGCCTCTTACAGCGGTAGTGACTGGCTTCTATTTACTAGTGGACTGACTCGTACAGCGGTAGTGACTGGCTTCTATTTAGTAGTGGACTGCCTCGTACAGCGGTAGTGACTGGCTTCTATTTAGTAGTGGACTGACTCGTACAGCGGTAGTGACTGGCTTCTATTTAGCAGTGGACTGACTCGTACAGCGGTAGTGACTGGCTTCTATTTAGTAGTGGACTGCCTCGTACAGCAGTAGTGACTGGCTTCTATTTAGTAGTGGACTGACTCGTACAGCGGTAGTGACTGGCTTCTATTTAGCAGTGGAATGCCTCGTACAGCAGTAGTGACTGGCTTCTATTTAGTAGTGGACTTACTCGTACAGCGGTAGTGACTGGCTTCTATTTAGCAGTGGACTGCCTCGTACAGCAGTAGTGACTGGCTTCTATTTAGTAGTGGACTGACTCGTACAGCGGTAGTGACTGGCTTCTATCTAGCAGTGGACTGCCTCGTACAGCGGTAGTGACTGGCTTCTATCTAGCAGTGGACTGACTCGTACAGCGGTAGTGACTGGCTTCTATTTATTAGTGGACTGACTCGTGCAGCGGTAGTGATTGGCTTCTATCTAGCAGTGGACTGCCTCGTACAGCGGTAGTGACTGGCTTCTATTTATTAGTGGACTGCCTCGTACAGCGGTAGTGACTGGCTTCCATCTAGCAGTGGAATGACTCGTACAGCGGTAGTGACTGACTTCTATCTAGCAGTGGACTGCCTCGTACAGCGGTAGTGACTGGCTTCTATCTAACAGTGGACTGACTTGTACAGCGGTAGTGACTGGCTTCTATTTATCAGTGGACTGCCTCGTACAGCGGTAGTGACTGGCTTCTATTTAGCAGTGGACTGACTCGTACAGCGGTAGTGACTGGCTTCTATCTAGCAGTGGACTGCCTCGTACAGCGGTAGTGACTGGCTTCTATCTAGCAGTGGACTGACTTGTACAGCGGTAGTGACTGGCTTCTAATTAGTAGTGGACTGCCTCGTACAGCGGTAGTGACTGGCTTCTATTTAGTAGTGGACTGACTCGTACAGCGGTAGTGACTGGCTTCTGTCTAGCAGTGGACTGACTCGTATAGCGGTAGTGACTGGCTTCTATTTAGTAGTGGACTGCCTCGTACAGCAGTAGTGACTGGCTTCTATTTAGTAGTGGACTGACTCGTACAGCGGTAGTGACTGGCTTCTATTTAGCAGTGGACTGCCTCGTACAGCAGTAGTGACTGGCTTCTATTTAGTAGTGGACTGACTCGTACAGCGGTAGTGACTGGCTTCTATCTAGCAGTGGACTGCCTCGTACAGCGGTAGTGACTGGGTTCTATCTAGCAGTGGACTGACTCATAGAGCGGTAGTGACTGGCTTCTATTTATTAGTGGACTGACTCGTGCAGCGGTAGTGACTGGCTTCTATCTAGCAGTGGACTGCCTCGTACAGCGGTAGTGACTGGCTTCTATTTATTATTGGACTGCCTCATACAGCGGTAGTGACTGGCTTCCATCTAGCAGTGGACTGACTCGTACAGCGGTAGTGACTGACTTATATCTAGCAGTGGACTGCCTCGTACAGCGGTAGTGACTGGCTTCTATCTAACAGTGGACTGACTTGTACAGCGGTAGTGACTGGCTTCTATTTATTAGTGGACTGCCTCGTACAGCGGTAGTGAATGGATTCTATTTAGCAGTGGACTGACTCGTACAGCGGTAGTGACTGGCTTCTATCTAGCAGTGGACTGCCTCGTACAGCGGTAGTGACTGGCTTCTATCTAGCAGTGGACTGACTTGTGCAGCGGTAGTGACTGGCTTCTAATTAGCAGTGGACTGACTCGTACAGCGGTAGTGACTGACTTCTATTTAGTAGTTGACTGACTCGTACAGCGGTAGTGACTGGCTTCTATCTAGCAGTGGACGGCCTCTTACAGCGGTAGTGACTGGCTTCTATTTAGTAGTGGACTGCCTCTTACAGCGGTAGTGACTGGCTTCTATTTACTAGTGGACTGACTCGTACAGCGGTAGTGACTGGCTTCTATTTAGTAGTGGACTGCCTCGTACAGCGGTAGTGACTGGCTTCTATTTAGTCGTGGACTGACTCGTACAGCGGTAGTGACTGGCTTCTATTTAGCAGTGGACTGACTCGTACAGCGGTAGTGACTGGCTTCTATCTAGCAGTGGACTGCCTCGTACAGCGGTAGTGACTGGCTTCTATTTAGTAGTGGACTAACTCGTACAGCGGTAGTGACTGGGTTCTATTTACTAGTGGACTGCCTCGTACAGCAGTAGTGACTGGCTTCTATTTAGTAGTGGACTGACTCGTACAGCGGTAGTGACTGGCTTCTATTTAGCAGTGGACTGCCTCGTACAGCAGTAGTGACTGGCTTCTATTTAGTAGTGGACTGACTCGTACAGCGGTAGTGACTGGCTTCTATCTAGCAGTGGACTGCCTCGTATAGCGGTAGTGACTGGCTTCTATCTAGCAGTGGACTGCCTCGTACAGCGGTAGTGACTGGCTTCTATCTAGCAGTGGACTGACTCGTACAGCGGTAGTGACTGGCTTCTATCTAGCAGTGGACTGCCTCGTACAGCGGTAGTGACTGGCTTCTATCTAGCAGTGGACTGCCTCGTACAGCGGTAGTGACTGGCTTCTATCTAACAGTGGACTGACTTGTACAGCGGTAGTGACTGGCTTCTAATTAGTAGTGGACTGCCTCGTACAGCGGTAGTGACTGGCTTCTATTTAGTAGTGGACTGACTCGTACAGCGGTAGTGACTGGCTTCTATCTAGCAGTGGACTGACTCGTATAGCGGTAGTGACTGGCTTCTATTTAGTAGTGGACTGCCTCGTACAGCGGTAGTGACTGGCTTCTATCTAGCAGTGGACTGCCTCGTACAGCGGTAGTGACTGGCTTCTATCTAGTAATGGACTGCCTCGTACAGCGGTACTGACTGGCTTCTATTTAGTAGTGGACTGCCTCGTACAGCGGTAGTTACTGGGTTCTATTTAGTAGTGGACTGACTCATACAGCGGTAGTGACTGGCTTCTATCTAGCAGTGGACTGCCTCGTACAGCGGTAGTGACTGGCTTCTATTTAGTAGTGGACTGACTCGTACAGCGGTAGTGACTGGGTTCTATTTACTAGTGGACTGCCTCGTACAGCGGTAGTGACTGGCTTCTATCTAGCAGTGGACTGACTCGTACAGCGGTAGTGATTCGCTGCCATCCAGGAATGCATTGACTCCGCAGTCGTGACCCGCTACCATCCAGCAGTGGATTGAACTTGGCTATTAAGAATGAACTCTTATAGCGCGTTGCATTAAAGCAACGCTACTGGGTTCGGTCGCGTCAATGTATGATGAATGATATCGGTCGCGAAAGCCTCCGTGTTAAACTTTAATAGTCTTAACATCACCACTGTGGTTGGAGCCATGAATATGAGATGGCCCTTAATAGAGAATGTCACGAAGCAGTCCTTAACCAGCAGCTAAGTGGGCAGTCTTGGATTAAAGCTCTGTGACCTTTAATGCATCATACTACTGCGCTATTAAAATTACTCCCGAGTTTCCTGACTGGCCGCTGGCTGGCTTCCTCTCCACCCCAACACAAACTTATATGAATGACCGCGCGCCATTGGCAGCAAAACTCGCTGGGGAACTGGCTAAACGCAATTTCCCGTGTAACGAATAAACATTTGTTTGATTTGAAACAGGGGAATAAGTTCCGGAAGGTATCTAATAGGTAGCGACATCGAATCGGTGGGACTAGCGAATACAGTAGGCTGACAGGGTTAATGTAAAATTAGTCAAACTTTTGTGCTCTTATTAACGTAATTATTTTTGGATTGAATTCCTTTCCAGCACAGACCCCGCTTGCTTGCCCATCGCCACATAAATAACCTCTTGTTGTAACAGCTCTCTCACTGGTTCAGCAGTTCCACTGCTGGATTATTTTTTTCTGCCTGAGGACGACCGCTTGTGTTGCGATCGAAATGTCGTGATATATTATTTTATTTTTCTACCTACGTGACTTTGCCGAAAGAACCAAAGAGTATGGATTCCTGCAGTCACGAAAGCCTCAAATTAAGATTGATATAAAAATACACTAACAATAGATATTTTCTTGGCACATTCCATCAAAGCGATTACTTTTAGTGCTTCGAGTATAGGATTGTGAGGAGAGTGTGGAATATACAGCTGTCTGTTCTTGTCTGTTGCAGCGCAATGTGTTTTCTGCTAGTTATTAATTATTACGCTTGTTTTTGTTTTACCAAATCCCCCAAAAATATCTTGTTCTTCTGGTTGCCGACCCCTGGACTAGACGGCGTAGGACGAGACTTATGAGCGTGTTCTGGTAGGCTAGTTATGGTTAGTTATAAAGTCCGGTTGGATAGTTAGGGTCAGGGATAGTGCCAATATATGTATGCAGAGTTAGGGTTAGCGTGAGTGCTAGGCATTGGTTGGCTAGTTAGTGTCAATGTTTCAGGCTACTTTTCTAGTTTGTTCAGGCTAGTAGTGCACAATGTATGGGTGTGTTAGGTCGGGTTCGTGCTTGGAGAGCTGTCTAGTTAGTGGCAGGGTTACGGCTATTTCTCCGGGCAGTATGGCTGGTTTGCCAGCATTAAGGCTAGTTGCTCTGTAGGTTCTGATTGTCCTTGGCTTCTCTTTTCCATTGCCAACGACTGCATATAACCATGAGCTTTTGTGTTCCATAATTTCCCTTTTATCAAATGTTCCTTACCGTTTTGATTCTGGTGAAGTGGGAAAATTCCAAAGCAATGTGTTGTAACCACTTCGTCTAGATCTGACTCCATCACTCAGTGTTGAAAACGTTTAGTTTTTCACCTTTGTAGAGCATTTTGAGGTGTGGTTACATTTAGAAGATATATGAATAACCCTGTTCTTCTTGGTCAGTGCTCACACGTGCAAGTGATTTATATGAGAATGACATTTAAAAATGTAACATTGAAGAAACCTTTTGGAGTTGGCCGTAAACAAACATTGGAAGTGTGCAGGCATGTGCAAACACTTTGAAAGTTGTGAACAAAACTACAAGCAGCCATCGGGGATCCGTCTGAAGTAGAGTCGCTATGAATACTATCTATTGAGGGGGACCAGCATACGGTCTACCCCCCTGCCCAAGAGTTGGAAAAGCAAATATGTAATTGAATCCCACCCGATATAATAACACAATAAATGGTGTGATTGTGACCATAACACCGGTCCTCCCATTATGTCTTGCATATCACCACCGATTTCCACGGTTGGCTACGTAAGGTGCGAAAGAAATTCAACATACAGTAGATACAAACATCCACATATATATCGGCGCACAGCCTTGTTTTAGACCACCAACTGTAAGCAGCTACAATTGTGGCCATTCTATTTTAGACAGCAGCAGGACTCCCTCATGTACCATGTGCCATTACCCAATGAATTTTGCACCACACTCAAAATATTGAGTTTCAACAAGGGGTTGGTTGGATTCCAAAGCCATGAATGGCAAGTATCTGCAAGTGACCTTGTGAGGTCTGTCATTGCCGTTCACCGTAAATGCATCCACAAAGCACCATTGGAGCTGTTAACCAATACACAATTGTACGCTGTTGTGCACAATTGTACGCAGTTGTGTTGTGAATGCATAGATATACCGCTGGCTTGCAGTGCCACGAATTACAGACTACAGTTAGGTACACTTTTGTTGATGGCACCAAAATAACACTAGAAAATGTCACAATAAAGCATTTGTCAGCACAGATGAGTAACCGCGGTAGTCATCATCCAGCCTGTCGATAGTATAAAAATAATTTTGAAATATCACGACCGTAGTGTAATGTGGAATCCAAGTAACAGTGAGATTTTGAGATTTCTTAAATTGTTCAAGTATCGGCTGTACTTTGTAGTGACAATGAAAATGTAAGAATCATGTTGTAATTCACGAGATGTAAAACATTTAAATAGTAAACATTTAAAAACTGAAATGTATTGCAACAATTGACTCGATACCTAGCTGTAATTTATTGACCTATTTGACAGTACCTGTCACTGGATAGTGGTCGATCAGGAGGAAATCAAACATTTGTTCGCTTGCCCTTTGTTGTTGGGTTTTTTTATCACTGTGAATTGAAATTGAATTTTGATATTCATATCAAATGCGATAGGGTTCATTGCACATGTACAGCCGTTTCGTCAATCCACTGCTGGGTGAGAGCCTCCCCCACACCATGTGATTTGTAGGTGGGTTGGTGAAGCTGAGAAATGTAGACTGAAGCATCGTAGAGGACAACACATTATTTTGCATAGCCACTCAGCCTGTTAATGCTTGGCGGTTGCCTATCCAGGCTCGACTATGCTTAGCTTCTGATCTCGGGCATGCGGATTCATTGTACCACCAGTTTATTACATCATTGCTAGAAATTTTCTGATGGTACTCATTATTTCATCACAGTTACAAAACATCGTAGTTACAAAAGCAACTGTCCTTTTCACAAGTGCAAGATAGTATAAATAATTGTGTTAATGTTGCTCAGTGCCGTCACAGTTACTCTTCCGTGTTTTACTTTCAAAGATAGCAGAACTGTCAAGCAACATGGTAATTGTGCCACGGGCATGCCTTGCAAATGACTCAAAGAGCATCGGTAAGTTTCACCGCATGAACATGTATTAACTTCACTTGCAATGAGGCATGCATTGGATGCATAATTATTGCAATTTTGGCATCTTAGCAGTTCATGAGAAGGATTAAAGGGTGATGATCAGGGTCACAATTTGCGCATCATGTGCCTGGGATCTTATTATACTGATGTCATTTTCCCGCAGTGAGATACTTGTGCCTGCATTGCCACTTATCTAAATGCAGATATATACAAGAACCTCCTTGAGCAACGCAGTGGTATTTATCACTGTCGTGGGACTACTTTCACTATGCAATTATGTTCCGTATCATGATGGTATTTAATATGACATTGCTTTTCTAATGTGTATGTCAAGTTATGTTTGTGACTGCAGTATTGTCACGATTAAGGGATTATATGTTCTTTTATAAATAAAATACCAAGGGCTTCCGTAGAGCAGGTGTTGCACATGAAGGTATGCTCTCGTTTTGTCAATTAAATGCATTGCTTTTGAATACAGCACATTTCAGTGAATGTTTAACACCCATTTACTGATGCATATGCATGTCATTAGCTCCACTGCATATGCTGCTTAAAAAGAGTAATAGACTGATGCAATAATGATATTGTAATTGTCCTCATGTGCAGTGCTGAATAGGTCATTCATTCATCTTTGCGTGAGCATTTAACTTAGCAGCTTCAGATAATGTCATTTGACAACTTGCACATGACAAAGCTGCGCTTATAGTTATTCCAAGTTTATATTTAGCCACTTCATAAATGCAGTATTAAAATGAAAGGCTCAAAGACCAAAATAAATGTTGATGGATACTCTGTGGTAATCCTATTAAGTAGAGGGCTGCTGGATTATCCAGTACTATATTTTTTTCAGGGCTGCACAGTTGGTTAACAGCGCCGGCATTCGCTCTGCACGTGGAAGCGCCGGCATTCGCTCTGCACGTACGAAATGCTGTACACGCAAATGCTTGGAATTGTGTGTAAGCAATCCTGCCGAGCGTTGTGAGGTGCGTGACGCTCACAATACGTACACAGCAATCTTGTATGTAGTCAGCTGATGCGTGACGTGCTCGCTGGGGAAATCTGCGAGGGGGTGGGTGGGTTAGCACTTGTGTAATGTGTCTCACCACAGTGCTATTTTGCTATTTGGGCAGCTTGGACATTGCTCTTATTACCACCGAGTGCGGAGCCGCTCCGCAGTAGTCGCCACATGCATTCTGGCAGCAAAAGGTCAGTGGTGGGCAGGCACTTGACTGTGCTTTTGTGGTATAGCAGTGCTGCATAATGTACAACGTTATTTTCAGATTTTTATATGATTTTTTGTTAAATGCATTGGAAGTTTGCGGCTACTTAGAATGCAATTATTGTCGATGCTTGATGTTTATTGACTAGCTTGAATGTAATTGTATTGCATTGATTTACATAGGAGTTGTGTTTTTAAATACGTTCTTCCTCGTACATGCTTGCTAATAATAGTCAGCCACTGCTAATGTTGTCATCCTGCGTTAGGTTTGCGCGTCTCACTCGTCAGCCACACTTATCCAAAGCCTGGATTTGAATGAATGCATGCCATGTGAGGTTCTGTTGAATTAAAAAGAAAGAAACCCGTCGGATTTTTTTTGCAACAGCAGTAATTATTTTAAGATTAACTGCGTTCGGGCCCGATCCTTCGCTTCTTGCCTCGGTTGATGTTAATTTGCAAATTTCTTACCCATTCAGGGGCATGTATCTTGTTATATTGGAAGAGCTAATACATTGCCACGGGTGGAGCGCTGGTATTACAATTTTGTCATTCATCTCTGTGGGAAGGCGTATTCAGAAAAGCAAGTGATGCAAAGAGAATTCATATATGGGTTTTTTTTTTAAACCTCACCTATTATGGTATTTGTGCTTTCACAGGACATAGACCATGGATAGCTTGAGAAAAAAGGTGTTCACCATGGACAGGGGTGTTGTGGAAGAGTGGCTGTCCGAGTTTAAGGTACAGTTTTACAATGTTATATATTTAAAATCACTGTCCAGACATGTTTTCAGCATTGTTCCATATGCTTGGTGGAGCAATGGAGCGGTTGTGGTCAGTGCTGTGCACGATAAACACGGCGACCTGAATTCTGTATCCGGCCATTGTCAACAGCATCAGCGAGTGATATCTGAACCACTTCTTGACCTCCCCTTCACCAACCCCCACTGACCAGCGTGGTGAAGTATAGTCAAACAACTCCTCAGCCGTGTGAAAGGCCTTCATCCAGTAGCAAAATGACTGTACATTTTTAAAATTGTTTTGTGTACTTTCCTAGATGCTTTATAATAGCATTTTGATTATTTACCATATGTTTGCTAACATAAGCTTGAAGGATCGTTTCCATGTATGTCACTGCTGCTAATATCAGTGTCTATATGATGAATACAATTTGCTTGCTCACATTAAGTAGACGTTTTGTCTTGATGGATGTCTTTATTGCTTTTGCAGGGGGTAAATTACCACGTGCTACGTGGCAGACTGCAACGCTGCTGTAACGTTCATCATACTTAATTATGATAACACAAGTGGACATTTTCCATCCATTCCTCATTTTCAGGCCCTGCCCGAGACCTCCATCGGCAGCTATGCGGACAAGCTGCAACAGAAGATGACGCTCATCTCAGCACTCTACAAAGTGATCCGAGAGGCGCACAGTGAGGTTAGCTTGTGGATGGCACACTATACTTGCAATCCAGAGGTCGCCGGGTTCAATCTTCCGATGTGGGACTTGAAACGATGGGAGTTTCTTAAACCGTCCCCCCCACCACCTCTTGTTCAGGTTATGTGTGGTGCACTAAAGTGTGGATATTCTCACCTCTTCCAAGATGCCTGGCCAATGTAGAGCGCCCTCTAATGAGCTGCCTGTCATGGAAGGCCTTCCACCAACAGTTGAGTGAGCAAGACATTTCAGGGCTGCAACCTTTACCGCGTCAACAACGCTCATGAGTATGTCCACCATGGACACAGAATCTGGATCGTTCAGAATCAGAATCTTCATTGAGACTGGCTGGAGGAATCCGATGAGCTGCGAAGCTCTTTTTCACAGATGTCCAGTAGGGACAGGTCCTAAAGTTGCGACAACAGTACAAAAACTGATAGGAATGACATCAGCTCACATGCAGGTGCTGGTTGCATTGTCACATCGCACGACCCTGAGAGATGGCGACGGCTTGGGGGAGGTCTTTTAAAAAAATAGTCGTTCTTGCTCAGGGTAAAACACGTTGTCTTCTTGAGTAATTTTAAGGTCTCAGCTCAGTTGTTGATGATTGTTTACAATAATAGAATAAAGGCTATCGGCTCATATTTGATAGATATACAGCTTGTCCTTTGCTGTTGGTTACAAGTTTGAACATTTTATATATATGTAAAAAATACTTTAAAGCTACAGTCAACCACACCACCATAATGTTCGATTAAGGCCACTGTTTTGACCTAAAATGCATGAGAGTGACGTTAGAGTGATGTCACTCGAGTGCTATAATGGCATGGTTGAGTAACTTCAGTCTTAATTTAACATAAAAAAAATATTCAAACTTGTCATACAGCCCAGGATTTACAGCCTAGGTGAGTATCTACAAGATGATGGCTATTTTGCTTTTTTGGTCCATGACTCCCTATGACATGATCCAGGCCAGCTTTAATTGTACACAGTGTAACAAAAAAAAATGTTCCTGGGTAGTAAGTGTTATTTCCTCATTGCTTATGCCTCAAAAGTACAGAAAATGGCTATTATTCCCCACAAACTTTGCTTTCGTAACCAGGACAGCGATATTTAGAAATGTACCTATTTTCAATGAGAAAACGTGGTGTGCATTTGTATGCACTATGCTTTTTAGGCATAAGCACTGGACAAATAACACTTGCTACCCAGAGACAAAAATCGTGTTGCATAGTGTCATGTGCCAAGTGAATCACTCGCCACTCTGTACAGTCGGTTGCAGGAAACCGAGCCCGAATGAAGGGATGTTGAAGAATGCCCTGTGGGTATCTCTCCCAGGAACATCGCCAGTTGTCTCATAAAAAAAAAATCTCTCTCGCAAGGGTTTCAATTAGTTTAAGAGCCTGGCTCTTGTGCTTGGAACACGTTTTAACTTCGTCACCATATTGTACAGGTTCTCAGGCCATTGCTAATGGTATTAATGGTAATGTTTATTCCGCCTGAACGTAATCCTTTTAAACATGCACTGTGCAATGCAGATATACTGTGGGATAAAAATTATCCAAAATGCACTGAATATGAAATAAAGAAAAACTGCGGTTCTTCATTTGCTCCTTTGAAATTAGGTACCCGATAGCAACCACCACATTATAGCGCTTTCCTACCATACCAAGTGACGTCTTTAACAAAACGCTATTATGACATGTTAAACAAAACCGTTGTATTTATTGCACAATTATGTATGCGGACGTGACCTCCTGGGTTTATTTTTAACGATGTTCTCTCCGTGCGCTTAATGGCTTGCCCTTTGGAAACAGCTGCTGGAGCCCGTGTGCCACCAGCTGTTTGAGTTCGCCCGTAGCGGGGAGCCGCGGCTCCGTCTCTTCACGCTGCAGTTCCTGCCCGTGCTCGTCGACCGCTACCTGACGGGCTTGGCCGCCGCACAGGGGCCGCGCCCTCGCAACAACGGCTGCGCGGAGGCACTGCTCCTGGGCCTCTATAATCTGGTGGGCACTTACAGTGGCGTACGCTTTTTTTTTGGTTGGGGGTGGGTGGAAGGGGGGGGGTGTATTTGACTGAGAAAAAATATGCGCACGTTGTTTAGTTTGTTGTGGGGGAGCGGTGGTGTAGCGGTTGGCGAGCTGCGTTATGAACCCAGGCGACCCGGCTTCGATTCCCGCTCACGGCCAACACCAGTGACGATTATATGAAACGGTTCTGAGCCTCCTCTAAGTCGGCTCTGTCTGGGGCGACAAAGGCGGTCGGGCGTGGTGCTGGCCACCCACCCCCTCGTGTACCGTTCCAGCATTCATAGGTGCTCGCTAACAGCACTTGCCCCACAGTCTGTTAAAGCAATACGGGGGGGGGGGGGTCTTTGTCCCGTCCGCACGTCCGATTAGCACGGTTGGCTACGTATGGTGCGAAAGAAGTTCAACTTACGTTTACATACAAATAAATGCACGCGTTAGTCAGCGACTAAAATAACTCCTATAGAATGACCTGAGCTACTTTAGAGTGGCTTGAGACAACTTGAGTGTATTCTAATATTTTGGACCTTGTCCTTTTTGTCCACGTACAAATCACTACATTCAGGGTGTTTTAAAAAGATAGACCCGATTTGAAATTGCTATATCTCTGCAACCACGAACCGTCCATGATTATAACTCTTACCACTTGAAATGGCGGGGCATAGAGTTTCAAAAGATGGTGACCCCGCAACACAAGGCGTTCTGCAGTTCAGCAAGACTGAATCCGTAATTGCGGTGCAGTGTGCGTTTCACCGGCGTTTTGGCATTGATCCGCCCATGTCAAAGAGCATTCGTCGTTGGTACCGACAATTTGAGGACACGGGCTGCTGTTGATGTAAGGAGAAGAGCACAGGGCGACCACGCACCTCAAGAGTAAAACGTAAGAAGAGCGGCGTTTGGGATGAATTCAACTATCGCCTCGATGTTGTCCGTACAGCAGGAGGAGGGCACATAGAGCATTTATAAAATGGTTAGTAAAACTTGATTACTCATTGAACCGTTTGTAACTTTTTGTGTACTTGTAAAATGTTGCCATCGTGAAATATACTGCTTTGAAATTGGGTCCATATTTTGAAACACGCTGTATATACATGAACTGATGGGTGCAGTGCTGAGTAGGAACGCACATGAAGACTAGAACAGTGCACGGGGGTGGGGGGGGGTGGTCAGCACCATCACACCCGGCTGCATTTTTGTTGTCTCTGCAGATGTTTACGCAACGCACCAGTTACTCGTTTAAGGCTGAGTCGACCTCGGGGAGGACCAGGAACGGTTCTGTTATCACTCGCCACTGAAGTTAACCGTGGCTGAGAATTTAACTCGGGCGGAGGTCATAGCGCAGTGTGCTCGCCAATGTTGTTTAGTGGTTTATTGTCTAAGACAAATTGTAGAAGAATTGATGAGCTATTTGGTTGAAACTATTGTGAATAATACTGTGCCTAATTTTTTACTGAATGCATATTTTTGTTGGCATTTATATAGACATTTTGCAAACGCTACATGCACGTAACTTGTGTTAAGCCCAGTATGGTGTGTGTTATCCTTGAATTATTTCTAAGAATTGGCTGTTTCTATTATTGCACAGTTTACAGCAATGGCATGGCTAAAATTGCTACTCTTTTATGGTAACACGTTTAATGTCTCTCCCTCAGCAGGTGATGTTTTCTTACTGGCTGCGTAGTATATCTGATGGAAATGCTACGGTTTGCTCCCCGCTGGACTGTAGGCTAGAGAATATCCCAACAGACTTGGATAATGATTTGCCTTAGTGAGATCGCTTCCTTTGGAAGAATACATTTTTAATGAAAATTGCTCAAATGTTGCTTGGTTTTCTAGGCAGCTGTTAAAATGCATAAATATTTTAAGTATTTATGCATGATGTGTTTACCGTAAGGAACATTTCCGACTGTAATAGTATTATCTTTTTTTATTGTGGATTTCATCAGATAATAGTTGTTTTTTGGTTTCAGAATGGTGTTGTAAAATCGAAAAGCAAATTAATTTTCAAAGTTTCACACATTTAAAATACGTGGCTTCAGTGTAACGAGTCTTGTTTTTAAAACAGTATTTTAATGCATATTTGTTCATTGATTAGTCTAAGAATTATTTGGCACACACGACTGGGTTAAAAATGGAATAAGTTTTAAGTTCAAGTCTAATAATTCACTTGACCTACATACCAACTGTGTACAGCTTTAGAAGGTCACTGCCTGGGAATACCGAACCAGCACTTTCATTTCTAGATTTGAAGCTTTCGTAACTGCAAGGATCCATACTCTTTGGTTCTATTCGGTAAAGTCACGTAGGTAAAAAATAAAACAACAAAAATCACGACGTTTCGGCCACAACACAAGTGGCCTTCATCAGGTGAAGGGGACCGTACTGTCACGAGGACAGCGTTGGAGTGAAGACAGTCCAGCCCAGGTCGCGTCCTTTTAAGCTGTGTGGGAGGAAACAAAACGCCGGTCCTCTTGTGCTTCACGGTCATTTTGTGCTAATTCCTTTGTCAAAGCGTTTTGTTTCCTCCCACACAGCTTAAAAGGACGCGACCTGGGCTGGACTGTCTTCACTCCAACGCTGTCCTCGTGACAGTATGGTCCCCTTCACCTGATGAAGGCCACTTGTGTTGTGGCCGAAACGTCGTGATTTTTGTTGTTTTATTTTTTACCTACGTGACTTTACCGAATAGAACCAAAGAGTACAGCACTTTCATCTTCCTTCTATGCTACCAGTCTGGGCGTTTAAATCATGAATGTAGCAAGCTTCTAATTGTACAACTAGGTTGTGGGTTTGATCCCAATCCTGACACCTGTATATTTGGAGTTTGCATGTTCTCCCGTGGCCGCATGGATTTGTCTCCGGGTCCTCCGGTATTTCTCTCCACAAATAGAAACATCCGCTTGCTATAAATTTCCACATGATGAAGCCACTTCGTTGAGCTATCATTTGTGGCCAGGTCGCTTCTGAAAAAGAGCTATACAGGTAGTCCCCGACTTACGGTGGAGATTCGTTACGACGACCTCATCGTAAGTCAAAAATATCTTAAGTCGAAAATGGCCTAGCCTACCCAGGAGTCTTAAAGAATGGTGATAATTTAGCAAAACAGAGCAATTTACAGTACCGTACTGTATAAACTATATACTGTATGTATTTATTAATTACAATACTGTATTACACAGTAAAATTTAAATTAAAAAACAAGGTAAATTCTTAGCCTACCTTTATGAACTGCAATTTCATAGAAAGTTTTTTTCAGGAAACAATCCAGCTGCTATAAAAACTTTTAACATGCATTGAACGTATGTATCGTATCGTGGTAACCCTAAAATGAAATCGCTAAAGCTATGTATCGTACATGCATTGAACGTATCGTAACGTATCTTATTCTACTGTTCTCACCAAGGTTTTGTCCGTCGTCTGCATACTTGAACGATGTTAGGTTGTTGATGGCTACATTAACTTAGTTGTCGGAAGAGGAGGATGGCGATGATAAAGTACAGTATCGTACCTTGTACGCCGCTGCGTTTGCCTGCCGCGTGAAATTACAAATATTTGACAATTTTGTCATATCGCTATCACCATCGTAAGATCGAAATATTGTAAGTCGGACCATCGTAAGTCGGGGACTACCTGTATAGGTCAGTGGGCCTTAGCTGGTGAAATAAAAAATAGTTTAGTATTATTTTAGACAGAAAGAAGAACACACAAATCATGTAAAAATGCAAATTATAGATTCCTTATTCTTAGCTCTTTCGGTAAAGTCACGTTAAAGGGAAACAATAAAATAATAAAATATATATAAAACAATAAAAAAAATTCTCACGACGTTTCGACCATAACACAAACGGTCATCATCAGGTGTGAAAAGCAACGGCAAGAAACATTTGAAAGAAGTGGCAGTTTTCATCCATTTATTTATTTTTAGACGGTGTTTTTATTTACCTATTTAAAAAAAAAACGTTAGTTCCACGGGCAGCGGTTTGGCAGTTTATTTAGAAGGACGAGTCCATCTATGTTCTGAAAAGAGGAGGGGGGAGACAAAAAATGAATGTATGCTGTCTGAAAGTCACCGTAAGCGTGAACAATCAATTAAGACCTGATATGGTTTATCAAATCCTTACAATGATTGCTAAGCCAGAATCCATCTTCTCGGTTGAAATCGTCTCTGTGCTTGTATATGTGGATAGCCTCATGAACGAATCTCTCATGGTAGCCAGATGGCTTACAAAGAACCTCTGTCTTGGAGAAGTCAATGTCATGTGAGCCTACTGAATTATAACAATGATCTGCCACGGCCGATGTGTTGGTCCTACCGTGTTTAAGGTCTGCTTTGTGTTCACGAATGTGGTCCGAGACATGGCGTTTGGTTTCTCCAATGTAACTACTTCCACAATGGCAACTTAGTTTGTAGACACCAGGGTACTGTATGTCCGGAATCACATCTTTTACAGACGGAACCAGATCACGGATTTTATGTAATGTGTTGAAACGGACCTGGATCTTGTGTTTATTCAAGATTTTGGAGATCTTTTTTGTGATCCCCGCAATGTAGGGTAAAGTGATGGTTTTGAAAGGCTCCTCAAGAGGGTCCTTCTTCATGGTTTGAGTGATAGCTTTGCGGATTGTATAGTCGGAGTAACCATTAGCCTTAAGAGCTTGGTGTACGTGCTTGAGTTCACTGCCTATGTGTTCCTGGTTGGATGTGCATTGAACTCTATGGTACAGAGTCTTGATGAGATAATTTTTCTGTGATGGATGGTGGTGGGAATCCGGTTTCAGATAAGCATCCGTATGGGTAGCTTTCCTGTAGACAGAGTGGCTCATTGAACCATCAGGTCTCTTTTTTATTAGGACATCCAAAAAAGGTAGCTTGCCATCTTTTTCAACTTCCATGGTAAATCTGATGGCTGGGTGTATGGAATTGATGTGGTCGAAGAATTGGTCTAGAGCAGGCCGGCCATGTGGCCAGATGACAAAAGTGTCATCCACGTACCTCTTCCATAAGGTTGGGCGCAGTCTCAAATTTCTCCATATATAGCTAACATTTTAATGGAGAAATTTGAGACTGACGCCATCCAGACTGCCACTCTACGCCCAACCTTATGGAAGAGGTACGTGGATGACACTTTTGTCATCTGGCCACATGGCCGGCCTGCTCTAGACCAATTCTTCGACCACATCAATTCCATACATCCAGCCATCAGATTTACCATGGAAGTTGAAAAAGATGGCAAGCTACCTTTTTTAGATGTCCTAATAAAAAAGAGACCTGATGGTTCAATGAGCCACTCTGTCTACAGGAAAGCTACCCATACGGATGCTTATCTGAAACCGGATTCCCACCACCATCCATCCCAGAAAAATCCTCTCATCAAGACTCTGTACCATAGAGCCCAATGCATATCCGACCAGGAACACATAGGCAGTGAACTCAAGCACGTACACCAAGCTCTTAAGGCTAATGGTTACTCCGACTATACAATCCGCAAAGCTATCACTCAAACCATGAAGAAGGACCCTCTTGAGGAGCCTTTCAAAACCATCACTTTACCCTACATTGTGGGGATCACAAAAAAGATCTCCAAAATCTTGAATAAACACAAGATCCAGGTCCGTTTCAACACATTACATAAAATCCGTGATCTGGTTCCGTCTGTAAAAGATGTGATTCCGGACATACAGTACCCAGGTGTCTACAAACTAGGTTGCCTCTGTGGTAGTAGTTACATTGGAGAAACCAAACGCCATGTCTCAGACCGCATTCGTGAACACAAAGCAGACCTTAAACACGGTATGACCAACACATCGGCCGTGGCAGATCATTGTTATAATTCAGTAGGCTCACATGACATTGACTTCTCCATGACAGAAGTTCTTTGTAAGCCATCTGGCTACCATGAGAGATTCGTTCATGAGGCTATCCACATATACAAGCACAGAGACAATTTCAACCGAGAAGATGGATTCTGGCTTAGCAATTATTGTAAGGATTTGATAAACCATTTCAGGTCTTAATTGATTGTTCACACTTACGGTGGCTTTCAGACAGCATACATTAATTTTTCGTCTCCCCCCTCCTCTTTTCAGAACATAGATGGACTCGTCCTTCTAAATAAACTGCCAAACCGCTGTCTGTGGCGCTAACGTTTTTTTTTTAAATAGGTAAATAAAAACACCGTCTAAAAATAAATAAATAAATGGACGCGAACCGCCACTTCTTTCAAATGTTTCTTGCCGTTGCTTTTCACACCTGATGATGACCGTTTGTGTTATGGTCGAAACGTCCTGAGAATTTTTTTATTGTTTTATATATATTTTATTATTTTATTGTTTCCCTTTAACGTGACTTCACCGAAAGAGCTAAGAATATGAATTACTGCAGTCACGAAAGCTTTAAATCAAAATTTATAGATTCCTTGTTGGCTTTAGAAACGTGAGCGGACTTGAGCAGGACACGTTGCTAAAGGCGATCGATGGCCAATGTGTGAGACGGGTGGTGGAATGGCAGCCAAAGTTTGGATTACACCCAAGAGGGGTGACCACTGCGGAAATCAAAAGGATGAGATCAACTTATGGGCAGGAGCGAAGTGATGTGGCGTCATAGGACCATGGAGAAGAGTGACGACGTGGGGGATGGCTTCTCCCCAGCAGTGGATGGATAATGGCTGATGACGATGAACGCCCCTGTATTGTGTACACAGTATGTGTTGAGACGTAATGCGCGTGTTGTTTGCAGGAGATCGTTGAAAAGGATGCAACCAGTAAGGTCTTGGCATTTACAATCCCATCACTGTCTAAATCTTCCATCTATCATGAGGTGAGGACATTATTTTTTGCAAATTGAAGAACATAACTTGAGCGATGTTCTCTAAAGTAAATAAGGAGATACAGGTTCTTTAAATATTATTTTTTTAATTGTGTACTGAAAGAAATTTAACACCAAAAAAGGTGTGCCTTACTAATTGGGTTTAACATTTACTAACATATGAAAGCAAATTAGTTTTTTTCTGAATATCCCTTTGGGAAAATCAAATACACTTGTTAAGCATCTGCCGTATGCATGCATGTGTTTGATTTATTGGCACTTATTCCACGTGTGCGTACCTGACATTGCTCTCGATATTTCTCCTCAATGACTGTTCTTAATGAATGTTTAATGGCTCCCATCCTTTACTTGTAATGTTTCCTTGTTTGTTTCACCATAAACACACGTGCGCACATATTTTGGGCCCAGGTCTACGACAAGTCCAACTACACGCTGCTCAATCAGTTCCACCCATGTTGTGAATGCTTTTCTTGCATATGCAGATTTTTCCCTTTCAAGTTAACACTGAACAAGCTGTGATGGTCGTGTTCTAAGCCAGCGGACTGTGTATTATCTCTTCAGAATAAAAGCGATGTGAGCGGTGCTGTTCAGCATTTGTCTTTGAAATCACACGATAATTTTTTATTTGTAAAAATGCTAATGGGTAGCATGATTCCAATGTCAGGTTTCTGAGAGGTATTTTTTGTAATGATTTTAAAATAAATTTGCAAAAAAACGAAACTGATTCATTTTACTGCAAGCTTTTTAAAATCACCTATCTGTATTTAATTTCCAGCACTAATACTGTACTCTCATGTATTCCTTAAATAGTTTTAACGTAAAGTGGCCAGCTTGGCCCGTTGCTCACATTTCTTGTTATGTTGAAAGATGAAAGCATATCTTGTGAAATTACATGGGGTTCTTTGATATATTTATTTAAAAAAAACATTAACAAAGACTGCTGCTTTCAACAAGATCACAACAAAAGGCCCTCTCAGTAAATTATGCATCTCGCTTCTATTGGCTTGTGTGGTAATTGAAAAAATATAGCTCTGCAGCTGAGATGGTTTTTTTCTGAAATGGCAAATGCTGGATGTGATGAGTGGAGGCTCTGCCATTAGGCAAGTGGTATTGCACTAATGCATACGATTGTTTATAGGGTATGACCCATGGCAGTGATTGTGTGGGATGTGACTTTGTAATTGCTGACAGCGGTCATGTGACATTAAATAGAAAATAGCCTTCGCTTACAAAAATAATAACACTTTTGCCATTTCTTAAATGTGGGGTATATTTTGTAGTCGCCATCTAGCCAAGGATTAGATAACACGTTTTAACATACATATGAACACATTTTAAAATGTTTATTCTCACCTTGGTGTAATGTTCCCCAAATAATCTCCAATTTTAAACATACATGCTGTGTTGATAATGCATTCCAAATTCACGTTATAAATACTGTACTTAATAAATTTAATGACTGTACTTTAAGGTTGCGATTGCTTAGTCACTCACTTAACGAGCTGTTTTACATTCTCTCCTCCGCCCCATGCTTGAATTCTTATGTTCAGATGTTCCTTTTAATGTCTTAACAAAAAGGGTCATCACGGGACATGAGTCATTAAGGCTTTCGTTGTGCACAAGCAATATTGTGCATCTGCTGAGTGCCTGACGTTACAATGCCTCTGTCAATCTGCCAGCCAGTCTGGCACTGTTGTTTAAGAATGACCCATTTTCGGAAATACTCTTGCAGCTCATGTTCAAATTTGCAACTATCACTTTCCCACCACTTAAAAGAAAAACCTGCAACAAAACAAATAAAATGCTATGATGTTGACTCGTTAACGCAAGTCGTTAACCAAAATGATCTGATGGCTGTATAATGCTGTTGTTAATCTAGGAAACAAAGTGGGAAATTCAACGAAGCGTTGAACAAATGCCCAGTCTGTTGGTTGTGACTCGTGGTTTTGATTGCGTGGGTGTGCATGACCGTGCGCCCAGCCGGGCAGCATGGGCTCCGTGGCCATGATGGAGGCCACGTTGTCTGGGCGAGATGTAGTGAGAGTGGCCTATGCAGGACCCCTGCCACACAGAGATACCTTTTCTGCGCAGAACAGGTATGCGTGCATGCGCGCAAGGTGTGACGCACTACATGTACAGCCAGTCAATTCACTGCTGGATGAGGGCCTCCTCTTGAAGCGCAGGCAGTGAGATTTATTTTATCATACGTCACCCGCTCTTCAGTATGGGTTGGTGAAGGTTGGGGGACGAATTGCAGAACGATAGATTTTGCTGCACTGCCTTGTGCCCACAATGCCTCGTACACCTCTTTTGTATGCTTGGCGATCACCCATCCAAACACTATCGAGGCGAAATTCTGTTTAGCTTACGAGACCGGACGGGATCGGGCTCATTCTGGGCAATTTGGTCAGAGGCTGATGCACACAGCACATTGCAGTACACCCTGGGAAGTGTGTGGTGGTTTTGTTGTCCATTGACTTTGGGTTTTTCCACCAACAGGTTTGAGGTGCTGACCTTCCTGCTCATGTGTTATAACAGCGTCGTGGTCCAGATGCCCTCGTCCTCCTACCAGGCGCTGTGCTCAATGTGCTCCCAGTGAGTGTCTCTCGCTTCGCTTTATTCAAACGCAGATTTTATTTTCACCCCCCCCCCCCCCTCTTCCCTCCCCTCCCGAAGCACCGCGGTTGCATTTGATGTCATTGTGGAGTTGTCTCCAGTGTTATCCGTCTCATGAGAAGCCACTCTTCCCAGGGTGTGTATCAGCGGATTTCCTCGGCAAAAGCGGATCTGGAAGGAGCCACGCGCACGCATAGCCCTCTCCCCAGAGTTTATGGTGCAGCTGCTGACTGGCATCTACTACACCATGTAGGGATACACACTTCATCACTCTGTACTTTATGTTATGCTGTCAATTTAGCGACGTACACTTTTGCGCTTGACTCATTACATGACTGTACTACTGTGCCCCCAAACGTCTTTGCGCGTGTGTGTGTGTGTTCTTTTATGCAGATATAACGGTGGTTGGGATCTGGGCAATGAAGCACTGGACAATGTGATATACCGAGCTCAGCTGGAGTTTTATCCAGAACCCCTGCTGGTTAGCGTTTGCACAAACCCTTGTGATTTTTTTTTTACATCTCTTTAACCAATGTATCACCGATTTAAAACAGTTTACTGCTTTAAAAAATAAATCCAAATTGTATCTCACTTGCACTGCCAGTATTATGAGACAAAGGACCCATTCGTATGGTCACACTGCAGTTCAGTGCCACCCTCCGATGCTAGAGAACGGCCCACACGTGGGGTTCCACAAAACTTCTGAAGATCTCTTCAGGTGACCCCTTTTCCATATAGTATTGGGCAGCACTTTCCATCACTTCACAGTCAAATCCCGATAATTATTTTAACAGTTGAATATTTGCTAGCTGAGGCCAGGCTGGGACCATCTACTCACTGCCACTTGGAAACGAGTAATCACAGGCAGCTGGCTGGATTCAAACCCAGGATCTCAGCGGTGCCGGCTCAACGCTCTGACCTCTGACCCACCTGGCCACTTCTCACTCATGATGCTATGATTCCCTTAACTTTTGTGTCGCGCAGGTGGGTAATGCCATGAAAAACTCGCTGCGCTGGGATGCTCCTGACTCGATGGACCCTAAGCAGCAGGTGATCCAGGTGGAAGTGACGCCCACTCTTCGCAGGCTTTCCAGAAACGCCGTCACCAGCGCATCCATACGGCGACACCGCTGGCGGAAAGATGGTCCGGGACACATGCGCGCACGCGAACATGCAACACACAGAATATTGGATACTGATCATCCTTTGTGAATGGATGCAAAGGCACTGCACTATTTGCTAGAGAATGACCGTGTAAAATTACTTGAAAGTCTTATCTCATCTGAGGTGCAGTCTGATGTGTCCACATTTTGTATGCTAATTTTTGAATATGCCTAGATGTGGCTGCTTTCATTCAGTTGTTGATGCCAATGTCTTCGATTACTTTCAGTGCTGGAGGGGAAGGTTGTGGAGGAGACCTTCGAGATTTCCGAGCCTGATGAAGGCTTTTCTTCGGGAACATCCAGTGCCAGCCATTCCGCCGCCATTGCTACCAAGTTACCTGGTCCATCATTTTATCAAAAGGGCATAATTCGGAGAGGCGTTTGTCTTATAGGCACTTGTAGTAAAGAGCCAGCAGGGGAAACCCAGCCAGACTTCGGGAAGCCGTTACCTGTGCATCCTTTATCTGAGCCTGGAAAACCATCTTCATTGCGAGCTGTTCTTGAATCTGGTAACCAGCCGCCCCAGAAGGAGGGCATGGCTGACAGCTACAAGCTACCTACTGGACAACGGACAGCCAGTGAGTCCGGCAGGGCCTTTTCCCTGCATACAAGCAGCAAACCATCCCCGCCTCTCCGCTCCGTGACAGAACCCGGAGGCAGACACTCAGTAGAAATGTCAACACCGGCAGCTCTGCTCAAGGCAGGTGGAAAGGAAGTATCCTGGCATGCCCTTAATCCGAGCAGCAGCCAGTCCTTGCTGCCACACAAGGATGAGGATCCGGGTCTGGCTAGCACATCGACCGCCGCCCTGAGTCGCTCGTTCGAGTACGTCGGGGCATCCGGAGGAGCGGGCTCCGAGCCCATTGCCACGGTTGGTGGCGGGAGCGCGGCAGGCAGGAAGCGGGGGGACCGGCATTCGACGAGCAGCCTGCAAGAGGAGCGCCTGGCCTCGCAATGCACCGACGCGGAGTCGCAGTTCCTGTCTCCTAGCCGGCAGCATGGGCAGCAGCAGCAGCAGCAGCCGCACTCTCCCAGCTATGGTGTCCAGCTGGTCACGGAGGTCTAAGCAAATTAGTATGGCTCATGGCAGTTGTGCAGTAAAAATAGCCGATGCGCTTTGCAGTACAAGTGAACGCAAGGATTGTGTAGGATAATTACACAACATGTCCTTTAACTTATGTGTTTTGAGGAAATTAGCTTTTTTCAGAGTTAACGAGTTATTGTCTGAAAAATGCAGTTTATGCCTTTAAATCGGAAAAGAGGAAATGCCAGGAACATTACTTTTCTAACTATTTTGTGGGCATTCTAAAGGAAGTATGCAACCCCAAAAACAAATAGCTCTTATTCTGCAAATACACACGGAGGCTTTGTCCCCTTGGCTGTCCATAAACAGTTGGAAGCTTTGTTCATTAGAATAAAGAATGTAAAGTGACTGGAGATTTCTAGTGACATCATTGCAGTGACCATTAAAGAGTGATGTCACCTGAGTGTGCCTGAAAATTACTTTACAGTAGTTTGTTTTCTCATGAACAGTGTTAGGCAGCCTTACACACAGCTTAGGTATCTGCAAGAGTTGTTTGTCTTTTTAATTGCTTATTTATATAAAAATATGACATTGTAAGTAGATGGTAAATTATCTCAACCATCTCGACCGTTTTCTATACATGTATACAATGCAATTTGGATTTATGCAGTGTCTAAATACAACCAAATGTCAAGATACTGTACAGAACAGTTAGCATATATTTGATAGAAAAAGATAGTGACAAGTAGAGAAAAAGAGGAAGGTTTTGAACATGGAATTGAACATGTGCAGGAACTATTCTCTTGTGTATAGCAATATGTTGAGCTGAATGCAAATGTTGAGGTCTTCTAGCCACGACGAGAGGGCTTGAGAGAGTTCGTGTAGTTTTGCTATTTTACTGTGGTCCATAGTTTGGGTTGCATGGCCACAATCACACTGGCTTACCTTTAATTTTCCATTCATGAAGGAGATGTGTGCATCGGCCTGTTGATGTTCTGATGCGGTTGATGGTACACAAGTGTCTTCAAGGAATGTCAAAGCCAGGAAGTGCGATGTTTGGGTCTTGAGTGAGGTGTTTATTCTGGACGTCCACGTTGTTCCATTCGGTTCACCAGTGTTCCTTGGGATCTAGGTGAAATTCTATGATGGTGACGGTGAACCTATAAGGGGAAACACGACTTGAGTCTGCAGCAAGGTACATTGTTGAGGTCTTGATTGATGAGTAGGTGGGGCGAGGACTTGCCAGCAAATATGTCTGGGGGGGAAAATAGTTCCAGGCAATGGGGGCAGAAGAGGAAAATTAGCAAATGTTGACTGGGGGCTTCGACAGATGGCCTCAGTTGCTGGCGTGGAGAGTGCATGGACGAAGTGAAGCGAGACGGGAAAGTAGAGGTAGGTAGTGGTCAAATCCGTGGAGGATCTTGAAGACGCTGAGTGCGATATTGGTATTGATACGGAATTGAATTGGGAGCCAGTTGAGGGATTTCAGCACTGAAGTGATGTGTTCTTGTGGGTGAGAAGTCTGTCCGTGGGATTTTTGCATCGTCTTGAGTTTCGAGATGAGGCATTTGGGGAGGCCGTAGAGTTGCAGTCGTGGAGTTGATGTGCGATGAAGCCATGGACGAGGGTCTCGTAGAATAAGGAAGTGTCAGATGTGGGAAGCGATGCGCAAATGGAGATATGAGGTCCTCCAGAGTTGCGATTTATTGGTAAGGGAATTCCATTTTTCACGCTCTTTGCCGGTAAAATGTAGCCGTTGCTGGGTGTAAACTTTTTGTGGATGAGCAAGGCAATACTTCCGTTTGGTGACATTTAGGTGGAGGAAGTTGATAGCAATCCAAAATGAGACTGCATGAAGGCAGGATGTGGGAAAAAGGCCTTTGAGGTTGGGCCCATGGAGTCAACGGCGATAGTCACGTCATTGGCGTAGAAATGGTTGACATAAAAACCGGAGTTTATTTTGCCCAGCAGGAAGAGAGATTGACGTGTACACATGGACGGAACCATAGCTGATGAGATTTTCCTTTGTCTAAAATGTGTAATTTAATTTTCCCACGTATTTATTGTTTATCACGATCACTACGAAATACCAATACTAGTGGTACTTGTCCTCCCTCGTTTATAGTCAATTCATTTATGTAATATTTGACTTTTATGAGTTCTAAATGTGAATAATTTTCTTTATTTAAAAAAAAAAGTTTAGTTATACTGCATTTGATTCTGGACCCAACACTCTGAAGTAATGTGTCACGTAGCACTAACTAAAATGTACATTACTATTTTGGTCATGTACATTGACTTTGGTGTGGGGGTTTTTCTGTATATATGTAGTTTCAAAATATATATCTCGCGAATGTGGCGTGCAGGTGACTCGCTGAAATGTATGCAGCGTCGCGTAAGAATGGCAAAAGCTGTGATGGGGGGGGGGGATGTGCACAAGTTGTGAAAGTGACGGCAGCTTTGTGTGCGTCGTTTGTTAGTGCGTGTTGCAGCGCGTGGTTTTTTTTTATTTTCACAGGCATACCTGTGTGATTCGGAGCATGCTGATCATCCATAGGCGTAAGTCGGCCTTTTGCTCTGGACTTCCGTTTCAACGTGTGTTATTTCACAAGAACATATCTGATAATTATATTCACCATATTTATATTTGAGAAGTAGAATGAATGTCGTGCAGTGTTATGGTTTCTTTTCAAAACGTATTCATTTTTATTGAAAGTTTGCCACTAATAGTTTTTGACATTCCATCTCATTCCAGTGCAACATTACACATTCCGTTTAGTCCATGCAATATGGTTATTTACGTATTGTAATGCATATTTATTTCCCTGTATACATTTATTTTTCATTACTCTGTATCCTAAGACCGATTGTTACTTGATGTTTTTTTTGTATTTGATGTATTTTTACACTAGTGATGTCGACACCGCAGTTGTAAGACCTGTCACTGCCGTAGCCTGTATAATCGCACCTCCGATTAGCGCGGTTGGCTGTGTGCGGTGTGAAAGTTATTCTACATACATACATGTATTGACCTTGACAAAAAACTAAATAAAACAAAAAAATACATTGTTAAAAACTGACGTGGTACTCTTACGGCAATTGGTTTACATTTTCAGGAGGTGGCGTAAGTGTAACATCGTCGCCCACAAAGAATGCTAAGAAATGGCTGCATTGTGAAAATGACTGCATAACGGACATTCAATTATTAATTATGTCTACTCTGCGGCGCCTTGTCCATGTCTCCACCATGATTAGATTCAAGAATAGATTCGGTCGCGTTTCTACGGTCTCATTTGTATTGTCTGTTGCATACGTTTTGTCGACACTGCCTCATTTGTTTCCATTCATTTGAATGTCAAATTTGAATTTAATTTTGGGTTAATTTTAAGTCATTCTTAAGCATTTCAATAGGGCGCGTGTTATCGCGAGCATAAGAATAGATTGAAAGTGATGAACAAGAAGCTGCTTTGTTCATTTTACATTCCTTCGTCCGTCCACGACTGGATGAAGGCCTCCCCTCGCCCTAAAATTCGTGGGGTTTATTTGATCATACATTCCCATGCTAGTCTGTGGTTTGAAGTTATGTGGAACACATAGACATGGGGGCACAGCAGTGTTGTACAACAATATATTTTGCTGCACTGCCTATTTGCTGCCCACCGCGTAGCCCTCTATTGTAGTGGGGGGACAGGAAGGGCTGTGCAGCGGTGCTTACTTTACAAGGCTGCAAGACAAATCGGTTTCACATGCTGGTACTCGTACAGCCCTTCTGGGAGCTGCTGCCACGTAATGGTTAGCACACTGGACTTGCAATCCAGAGGTCACTGGTTCAATTTCAGCTTCCGGCATGGCAGTTTAAATTATTGGCAAGTTTCACAAACCCCCCCCCTCCGCTGCAATTTTGTTCACCCAGCGGCATGATTGGGTACACCACAGCAGACCGGTAGGTTGCGTGTGGTGGGGTGAAGTGTTGGTACGCCCACCTCTTCCAACACATCTGGTGAATGTGGCAGAGGAGAGCAAACACCCACTGGTAGACGGCAGTGGCGTGCGCAGGCAATTGCAGTGCAGCACCTTTGCCATATTTTAATACAACCTTAGATTTTTTGTATTACTTGCAAGGACAAATGTAAACGTTTTCAAGGTTTACATTCGAATGCAAAATAATTTCCAATATGGAGAGATTGACTGGTGAGATATAAGGAATGAAATAACTGAGTGAATTAAAATATTGTTTTAAACCAAACCAGTCTGACATCTTCACCCTGCTGCGACTTGCAAATACAAATCCAATGTGGATTTATAATTTGCTCTTTTGGTACCTGGACTCATTGACAGGGGTGGAGCGTTGGCACAGTGCTTGGCACACTTTGCTGTAATATTCCAAATGTGTATATGTATGTTGACCTTATTTCGCACAGTACGTAGCCAGCCGTGTTAAACGGAGGTGCAGGGGAAGGACAACAAACTATACACACAACGCAGTTCTAACGAAATGCGTTTTCATTTAGATTTGAAAGTGCATAGCTCCAGTCGCTTCCTAATATCGGAAGGAAGAATATTTCGGACGGCCGCAGAAACGTATCTGAAAGCGCACTCTGTATTTTGATGGCCAGTCAAAAGCCGCTGCGATAGTGACGTGGCAGTGTTGGCCATTCTTGATTTGAAGCTTTCGTGACTGCAGGAATCCATTCTCTTTGGTTCTTTTGGTGAACTCACGGAGGTAGAAATATTTCCACCTCGGTACAGTCACGTAGTTAGAAATATTTCTGCCTCGGTAAAGTCACGTAGGTAGAAATATTTCCAACTACGTGACTTTACCGAAAGAACCAAAGAGTAGTGTTGGCCATGTTTATTATTTCGGAGGGTCTCTTGAAAGAACATTTTAGTGAATAGTGCGTAAAAATCATTCGCGCAGCACTATTAAAACCGTTTGTTTTGAACTTGGCCCGACAGCTGTGTTCTTGCTAAACTGTCAGCTCTGTGATCGATTGTTGGCAAGCGAGTTTTGATTTGTTGAGTTGCTCAGTGCTGAACTGTCGCGGGAACAGCGGCGAAGATGGTCCACTTAGACTTGTAAAACAGGTCCTCGTGGATCTGGCCACAGCAATCGCTCACCACCCTTGGTTGCTGCGACAGGACACTCGCTACGTTTATACCGAGAGAGACTACGAACCCAGGGGACCCAGATGAATCATAAATCTCCATCTTACAAGTGACAATGCAACTGGGAGTATTGTTATTATGCACTTGAACTCCCGGCTGTACTTTGTGATTAGTTTTACTTTCGTTTTTATTTATGTTTTGCTTATTTTCCACAAGGGCGTGTTCATTGCGCAAAAGGGTCTGTTTCACATTGCCACTGTGACGCAGATTTTCGGCGGAGCGATTCGCGTATAAAGCACATCACTTTGAAAGTACAAAACGACACGTCTCGTCAGAAAACTCTGAAAATAACTTGAGCATTGCAACAAACCCATGAGTCCTTCCTATGTGCAAATAAGTACGCTGCTAAGTTACGCAAAACACTCTCCGCTTACGATCCTTTACAGCCAAGGTAACCGTGTTCATGTCGCACTCCAGTCTGCAGGGGAAAGGTGTGTGCCAATTGAGGGCTGTCGATTCACATTTTGCCACGTGCTCAATCTCTTTCCAGTGGCGTGCGTGCTCCAATACTAGCCAGTCTCAGCACAGAGGCATGGATAATTACTTGTTTTGTTGGTATCTCAGCACATATGTCCTTAACACTGTCTTAAAAGTCTGGATAGGATGCTGTCTTGGCTGCCTCGCGAGTTTGCGCGGTAAGGAGCCATAAATTTAGTAGGTACGCAAAAATCTGTCAACTTGAAATCCTCCCCCCTCCCTGTACGCACGCGGACATTACACCCCCCCCCTCACACCTGCGCACGTACGCCTGACGCACCCCCACCCCGAATCCTATAGAACGGCCGATATTTAATACACGCAGAAACGATCAAGGATGAATCATATTAACGTGTTTAAGCAAACAGGTAGTCCACCGCCCGACTATCTAACTAATTTGAAGGCCCATGTAGACCAATTAATTATTATCGAGGCTTCACCCCCCCCCCCCCCGTTTCCTATGCGTACATTGTAAATAGACCCCCCCATACACAAGCGCACGCATTTGGGTTAACCCCCCTCCATGCGTACGTACTAAATGGATCGCCCCTAAAGTGGCTTGGTGGTTGCACCATTGTCTGGGTCAGGTGTGAGAGAATGGGGAAATCTTCTTGGTTCTTTCGGTAAAGTCACGTAGAAGGGAAATAATAAAAGTAAAACACAATAAGATAATTTTATTATGTTTTATTTTTATTATTTTATCATTTCCCTTCTACGTGACTTTACCGAAAGAACCAAGAAGATGAATCCCTGCAGTCACGAAAGCTTTAAATCAGAATGGGGAAAGTCTATTTGGTGACTTAAGAAGCTGCCTATCCAAGTGTGTCTGCCACAGTCGATTGCGATTCGCACGGTTGGCTCCGTACGGTGCGAAAGAAGTGCAACATACATTAAGTAATGTCTGTTTAAGTAGGGGAAAGTGCAAACTGAATTTAGCCCAATGAATTTTTTTTTAAACACGTCCCCGCATATCAAGCACTATAATGCCTGTAATTTATTTCGCGCAGTTTAAAAGCAGAACTTCTGTGCTGCCTTTGACCAAAACACCTGGAACACATCCAATTTTGTCTATGTGATCTCAGAAGCAAAGCATGGTCGGGCTCTCTCGGATTGTTGACCACTGTGGATAAAACAGGTGTCATGCGCTGCTATGTTTATCTTCAGGGCATATACACATTGCAGCCCCTCACAGATGTGGCCTGATTTATCATTAATTCCTATTCTATGTTCAAAATGATAACTAATATATTCAACACTGACATCTGAAACCTGTTCTCAATGTCAAATGGATTGCTACTAAGCTTATCCGATGGGGTGAGGGTGGGAGATAGGTGGCACAGAAATTCGGGCACACCAATGCACCTGGCCATGTGAGTTTGACTTCAAGCCATGCCTCACATCAGCGGCGAGTGATGTCTGAGCCAGTCCTGAGCCCTGCCCCCTTCACCGACCTGCACGACCGTAAATTGTGGTCAAACAACGTCAGTCGGCAGTGGATCATCAAGACACTGGTTTTTTTTTTTCATATCAAGTTTCTCTCGTTTAGTCATTTGAAACAATAAATATCCTTTCACTTAAGATGTACCCCAAACTCCCTATGTTATGTTTCAAGAATTAATACTGAATAAGGCAATATTTAATTCAATCAATGTTTCCCATACGTGGGAGAATGTTGCATCTGATTGAAAAACTCTTCCTTCCTAGGACATTATAAATTAGCAATTAGATTCACGTCACGAACAATATTAATATAACTGTTTTGACCGATACTAAATGTTTTTCATTCCACACTCTAATCGCACTATTTCACTCAGTTTATTGTATTATTTACAGCTTTATCTTGTTACCTCAATTTCATTTGAATGTTTTATTTTGTATACATATGCACGTTATATTTCGTTTGATCTGTTAATTATTCTGTATGCTGTGCTCTAAAACCAAAATACACTTAATCTCCCTTCATTTTAAATATACACATTGATTCATTAATGTAACCCGCAAAGTGTTGTGTAGCGATAGTCACACACCGACAGTGTCGAAACAAGATTATAAATAGCTTCCAGGATTATTTAGTGCTGCCATAACCCTATACGGAGACAATCTCTGTATCATGCAGCGCAATAACAAGAAAATGAAAAAAAACATGACAAGCTATATGTTGACATCTTCCTGGGATCTTTGTATACATTTGCGCTTTTTAGTATTGTTATTCGGTTGACATTTATATTGTATGCCAGTTCTTAAATACGCAAATACAGGCATCCAAAACTGTGAAAGTTTTGTAACCTGGTTCATACTAAATTGGGTGACAACCAGGGTTTTCCAGGTGCTGTGTTGCTGCGAGGTGTAGCCAGGCGATGACAGTGCCGAGTGTCATCCCCTTCTACACGTGGTCGATTTTCTCCGGGCACTCCAAGTTCCTCTCACATGAAAAGCCAATCCCTCATTTATGGAACTGACTAAACATTCCCAATGGAATAGCCTCCTGAAAAAAAAATTGTCCTGATGCAGTAAGGCTTTTATTTGGTAAACAATTTGCATTGTTATTATTGTTATTAACAACTGGCGTCAGCATCATTTTTAGCTTCACAATACTGATAATTCATTGCAGGCGGTTGCCGGTTGCCGAGTGGTTTATGATGCACGTCAAATGTGTTTCTCCGTCGGTGTGCAGTGGCGCGTCCGTGGCTCGCGTCCGGGCAGGAGACGCCACCTCTAATTGAGGAAGTGCAGGCTTTGATGAAATCAACTGCAGCTGTAGAAATACGAGTAAACGTCTGACAGTTTGGTCCCCCTGGCGTAGCGGACACATGAAAGCCCAGTGTTGCGGCCGCGGGGTTCAGAAAAATGACATCGGCACTATAATTTGGCCCGGCAAAGCGTGCGAATGAAACGCCGAGAATTGGGCCACGGCAAAGTTCATCTTCTATGGTTCTTTCGGTAAAGTCACGTAGAATGAGAATAAAATAATAAATTGATAAAATAAAATAACACAATAATATTCTCACGACGTTTCGGCCACAACACAAGCGGCCTTGATCAGGTGAAGGGACGAGACTGTCTGGTAGGACAGATCGTGGATCAAGCAATGGCAGTGGTCCACAACAAGCCTGCTCTCTACGGAGCCGGAGAGAGAGGCCAAGTACAATGAATTCAGATGACATCGATACGAATAACAGGAACACGACTTGCCGAGGAGCATGAGAACGTTTGATCATCAGAGGAGTTATCTGATGGCAATGCCCCCTGATCATTCTGTAGGTTGGTTGGACAATACATTCTTGCAACGTGAGCGAAATATTTAGAATTATATATATACAATCTTAGTATGAAAACAATGAGAATAGGTTTTATCCTTTCTGGCAATAAAACGGCAGGCGTTAACATGTTCAAACACCAAATATAAACCTTTTGCAAGGAATCAAGTCTGCATTAACCACACGAACTTGTGGTGAACATGCAAACAAACATGCTCTGATAATAAATATTGTCTTTGAAACTGATTGGTCCCATGTAAAATCTTGTTTCACCTTTATTTAAACCAAAAAAATATCATGCTGGAGAGAGAGAGAGAAACTCCGTTCATTGATGATATTGGCATAGTGGTTAAAGCGCTGCTCTGTGAACCCTGCGAACTGATTTAAATGTATTGGCCACGGATAACATCGGTGGCGAGTGATAATGTGCACGGACAAACGTGGTGAAGCGTCGACAACTCAACTAGCAAGATCCACACAAAAAAACACATGGACAATTCATCCAGTCCACGACTGGATGAATTGTCGATGTGCTTTTTTGTAGATTTTTTGTGAGTTGATCACAGAAAGTGAAATTAGAATACAAATAGAATTTCACATGGCAGTACAGTATACCGATTTTATTTCACGTTTCCGTTTTATTTAATAAGGAACATATTTATTGGGTGCAAAGGTTTGGTAAAAACTGAACATGCAAAGCATTCAGATTTATTTGATTTTTTTATACAGATAAAGTGTTTTGCCTCTCGTATACCTGAGTAAAATGTTGGCATCATCTTTCGTACAACATAGGTATTGGTCATACGGTATTCGTAACAGACCTAGTGTACTCAAATTTCATTTAAAAAATACCTTACACATATTTTAGTGCTTTTTGAGAAACTATATATTTACACTGCTGATAATGTACTTTTCCCCCAAAAAATATAGCATTGGAGCATTTACAAATTTACGTCAAATATTTAACATTTTCAGTGCATTGAAAATAGACGGTCCATTGCTGTCACAATATTTGTTTGCAACAGAACCCGCCATACAAACCAATCTCTATCGAATTCCTCCTCTCTTTAGTGCTACCCCAACTAGACAGCCGAAGACTGTCCTGCTGTCCTGGTGTTAGGGTTGCCACTTCTGAGGTACAAAAACCAGGACATGTCATGGCAAGGAGAAGAATATCTGACAATACCAGAAGATTTAAAGCTTTCGTGACTGCAGTAATCCATATTCTTAGCTCTTTCGGTAAAGTCACGTTATTGTTTCCCTTCAACGTGACTTTACCGAAAGAGCTAAGAATATGGAATACCAGAAGAGTTAAGAACTACATGTAAATGCATTTTTAAGTGGTTTATTATTACGCGACTGACAAAATAAGCCAGGACTTTTAATGTTCTGGGAAGACTTACAGATTTCCCAGGATGGCATCCACTTCAAAGAGAGGTTCCTGGGAAAAGCAGAACAGGTGGCAACCCGACTTTGCGTCGCCACGTTGGCCCACAAGGCGACCTAGGACGAGGTCGGCCATGCACGCGCGTGCGCCAACCCTCCTTCGCCGCACTAGTCCTCGAACACCTCCAGGAAGAGCGGAGGGAAGAGCTCGCTGGGACATTCCACCTTCATCTTGAGGAAGCGGTCCGTGTGGCTGACGCTGATGAGGCGTAGGTCGGTCACCTTCATGAGCAGCTTGGGCCAGAAGAAGGGCATGCTGTGCTTGCGCCGCTGCACGTAGCGCTCGAAGGCCAGCAGGTACCGCTCCTGCATCCAGTCCACCTTGTCTGGCCTCGACAGGCCGGCGCGGTCTGCGACGAGGACGTCAGACGTTTCACGTCCCGCTTGGCTATGGTTGAATGCATTCGTACGTGAGCTCTCTGTCCATCTGCCCGTCTGTAATGAGGGGGGGGGCCCCCACAAGAACTCTTTTAAAGTTGATCCAGTGTGAACGAAATTTAAGTTAGAAATTGTGTTCATAATTACGGGCTTACGCTATCGATCAGCCTGGGTGGGCTGGAGGGGGTGATTTGACCATGGGTGAAGGTGCTCAGGATCTCAGTTCAGATATCACTCGCCACCGATGTTAGCCATGGCAAGGGATCAAAGTTGGGACTCCAAGTCCATAGCGCAATGTGCTAACCGCTGCACCGTCGTTCAAGAGGTGCGCACATCTGTCAGTGGAATAAATGCATTTTTTGTTATCCGTTGGATGCGTTGAAAAAAGTTCCCGCCTGTATTCACTTACATCACTGCACTGTATATTCAGCATGTAATTCGCGATTGTCTGTAAGTGCAGATAAAGGCTGGTGATGGACCTCGTGCGTGCAATGTGCGTATAATGGTACAAGATAAACGATGTGGAGCGCATACCGACTCAGCATTGAGGCACTCACTTCGGGGACGGTGCGTGTAGATTACAAAGAAATTCAACAATGCGACAGACAAAAATATTTTTTTTTAAAAGCACTCAACTGGCTTTTTCCGACAGCAGGCACAATGAGGCGACCGGCACAAGCGCACGTTGGCCGTGTGGGCGCAACACACACCAAGAAGGGCGCTTTAAGTCGCCGGGACTATTTCTAAAACCAAACTATTTTTTTTATTTTACCAGGTAAGGCCCATCGAGCTACGTAGCTCTTTTTCAGAAGCCACCTGGACACAAATGATAGCTCAACGAAGTGACACATCACCCAAAGCAGTGGCTCTTAACGTTTACTGCAGCCTTGCACTCCTTTGGTTTTCAATCGTTAAGAAATATCTAATGTTAATAAATGCATGGAGGGTTTGATGAGACAAAGTAGTTGGTCTTACGTGCACGTGCTTAATTTGTGTTTCGATGATTTACCTTCTAAAGAAATCTGGCCATGTCTCCCACCCACAAAAAAGGGCATCTCGCACTTCCCGGACGTGCGTGCACCCCAGGTTAAGAGCCACTGCTCAAAAGGCATGCTTCTAAATGTGGAGGGAAAATCCGGGGGACCCAGATAAAAAATCCACGCGACCATGGGGAGACCATGCAAACTCAAAATATACAGGTGTAAAGATCGGGATCGAACCCACGGCCTCCTGTAAACAAGGCGAGGTAGTTAACATCTCACCACTCTGGGACTGTTGAGAAGTCAACGAGTTTGCGACTATGTGAAAGAGCATGCATGCATCTGCAGCTGGGATCGAATGCCATTTCAAATGTTACCAAACGTGAACTCGGAATTGAACAACGTGGACCTTTTTGGCATTCACGGTGTCAAGTTGATGCCTTCTCTCACCACGAGCACTGCCGCACCCATCTCCCACTGCAACGAACGCTTCAATCCACTAATATTATTCTTCACGCTTACGATGACGAACATGAGTGAGGAGCTGGCAATGGGCCAGCTCGTTTCTCATAATGCATTTTTAAGGGGCCTCATTAAAGTTGTGTGTTGTTAAACTGCTCATTTATTTAAGTGCTTTAATTTAAATTCGTATTTGAACGATTTGTTGCCATTAAATTAACGCACCTGACTCGAGATGGCTGGGATGCCCAGGGGTTACAGAACCACTGAGACACTGGCTTTTGCATCCAGGTTTCAGTCAGCTATGGTTAAACCAGCTTCTCAGGTGCAGTGAGTTGATGGTCTCAGTCCGGTCACGGATGACTACACACAAAAAAACATCACATCAATATTGTGTTTTCACTTCGTTTGGTGAAATTCTAGCTGTTGAGAATAAAAAAAAAATTGTTTGACTGTCATGCGACGGCTAGTACTTGATAGCTTTGGTACGTGGGAAAGTGAAGTGCCCTAGTATGTGGGAAATAAAATCACTCGAAGGGATATCAGCAGTAGTTCTGTGATATCACCTTACATGAACCGTTCTTGAACACGAGTGATGCACTGTCCCTGTGAGAGTTTCCAAACGGACACTTCACTCCATGGCATAACGCCGATAGCACAACGATCAATATCAGGGGGAAATAGGAAAAACAATAAAAATAAGTGACAAATATAAAAAAACCCATCGCACCTGAAGACACGAGCAGCACGGCCTGCAACAGAGCCACCTCGGTGTCGTCGAGCTCAAAGCTGACGAGCGACCTCCCCAGCTCGAAGATCGAATCGGAGATGTCTCCCAGGCCGCCGTGTTTCAGCTGCTGGCGCCTGACGGCCACCTCCCCGTTGAGCGTGAGCGTGTCGCTGTCGGCGTCGTAGCGAACGGCGGCGCGCAGGGACATGATCTCCATGCAGCAGCCCTTGAGCAGGATGATCTGATCTTCGCACGGCAGCTAGGCGCGCACGTGCACATCGAATCGAGTCACGCGTATGTTTGGTGTTGGAGTACAAGTACGTCGGGCACCTCCGATTAGCAAAGTTGGCTACGTGCGGTGTGGAAGAAGTTTATCATACATACGTCAGGTACCACCGTATTCCACAGACGTAGTCTGCAGGAGCGTACACAGCCAGGGAAGAAGGTGCCATGTGGTTTCCGAATTGAGTAATTTGCGGGTAATATTTTACTTAAATTTGGACCTTGACATCGTTACACATGGCCTACAACTTTTATGAATGACGTCAAAGGCTCTTTAACATCCGCTGTAAAACAGGCGGCGCGTATTCACGTTAATATATCGGCAGCATTAATTAGGGCGGCCGTTGGGGCTCAAATTGTGAAACTCTACAATAAGCGACGAACACGCTGTAACAGGACATAATGAATCGGCGACAATTCATGAAAAGTGTTACATTTTCATGGCCGTATATGGAGAAATTGGGCGTGGCTTTGCCCAAATACGGTTATTGGGGTGCTTTCTTGCCCAAATAAGGAATAGTGCAACGGGAATCGTCAGCTATGGTCACTAAATACTCAACCATAGCTCCATCACTGCTTGATCAATGATTGATCACGCCCAATTCTTCCATATATCATTCATTCTGTCGCGGATTTTTTTATGTCCTCCTCGGCCATGTCACCGCCCCCCACACACACAGAGGGCTTCATCTCAAGGACCGGGCCAACGACCGAGAAAATACTTCCACGCCCGGCACGTCCACATTCAGTATACCTCCAGCTGCGGATGTGAATACTAGTCACTTGCTTACTCCAGTCCAGCAGAGCCTTTTTCGGCTGTTAACGTGAAAACAGGGCATGAAGAGGTGGTGTGTCCAGCACCCGCCCTGTCGCCTTCGTCTCCGTAGTGCTGACGTTGACTGCACAGCACTGGCTATGTACTCATTTTAGGCTGAGCTGACCTACTGGAGATGAAGGTTCACATTCTAATTATCGCTGGTGTTATAATGGTCAGGAATTTAACCTGAGTTCTTTGAATCAGCCGACAAATACACGTTTCTCAATCCACCGCTGGATGAGGGCCTCCCCACGCCGTATCGGAGTTATTTGAACATACTTCACCATGCCGGGCAGTGCATGTTGGTGTAGGCGGTGAGCAGAGACGTTGGATTCTAGAATCACAGTCGAAGAATTTGATATTGCTGCATCGCCCACTGCTGCCCACCATGTAGCTCTGCAGCAGTAGCCTCTAACACTTGCTGGTTGACTCAACCAAGCTTTATCCAGACTCCACCCATAGTTAGCTTCTGAGATAAGATCAAGCGCATCTCGGGTCGTTTTTTGGGGGGAGGGAGTCATGGGACAGTCACGAAGAACATTGCGCGGTCAAGCTTCTACCTCCAGAAATCCCGTGAGCTTCTTGGCAAAGTCGACCACTCTGGTGATGGCCGGGGTGATGATGCTGGTGAAGAGGCTGAATGCGGCCAAGTCCACCATCTCTCCGTTCTGTGCCGAGGGCCGGCCTACCCCGTCAGGCTGCGGGGAGACAGCGCCCGTGAAATTATCTGCACCCGAAGGCGATTTGATTCTGTTTGGCAAACCTCAAGTGACGTCTCTCCGAGATGAGAACTCCAGAGGATGCCTGTCTCTGCAAAACTGAAGACCCCAAGTTCGTCTCGCTCTTGTGAATAAAAAAAATCATGGCCGTGTGGGATTTCCCCCATTAAATGACATCATAGCAATTACACCCAAAACACATTTGATGTCTTAGTCCCTACACAAAACCATCACATGTCCACAACCATCAACTTGAAGACAAATGGGGCTTTTTTTTCTTCCCACGGGCAATAAAGGATTGTAACAGGCTACCGAAAGAAGCGAGGGCCACTTCCTCTAGCTCTACATTAAAAAATATAATTAGATAACAACTCATCGGGAGCAGACAAAGGCACCGTGCGTCCACCACACTCCCACGCAAGTGGAGGAGCGACGCGGGCTGTTACACTCCACTATCGTCGTGAGCTGCGCACGACGTGAAGGTGCCTGGGGCACGCCGAGTGCCACTGCAGTTACACCGCCTGCACACTCAATTGCTATGGTAACGCCTAAAGGTCCGTGCTTGAGCCATCGAACGTGCAACTGCGCTGCACGCGACGGTATCGTTTATATGTCGGGGGGCAGAAGTCTCTGCAGCCGGTTGTGAGAATATTCTTAGCTCTTTTGGTAAAGTCACGTTGAAGGGAAACAATAAAATAATAATATATTTAAAACAATAAAAATTCTCACGACGTTTCGACCATAACGCAAGCGGTCATCATCAGGTGTGAAAAACCAACGGCAAGAAACATTTGAAAGAAGTGGCAGTTGCGCAACCGGTTGTGAGCAGTTGCGCAACCGGTTGTGAGCAGTTGCGCAACCGGTTGTGAGCAGTTGCGCAACCGGTTGTGAGCAGTTGCGCAACCGGTCGCTCACGGTAGAGACTTCAGGCCCCAGTTTGAAGCGGCGATCTACTCAGCGGTTTGGCTGCGGCGTGGACCCGCCGTGACGCGCAGGGCTTAAGCCACCACGATATCCCCCCCCCGCCCCCCCCCCCCAGTTGTACCAGGAACTTTCTCTTGTGCCTCCAGTCTCCGCCCTGAGCGTTGGAGGAGGTGTGCGCCTCGGTAACATTCTGGATGAGCGCCCACTCCTCGGGGCTGGGCACTCCCCACGCGTCGCCGCTCATTGTCGACGACTCCCTCTGCGCCAGCCGCTGCTGCTGCCGTCGCCGCTCCCGGTTTTCCTCGATGAGACGACGCTTGGCCACGCGCTTGCGGTCGTCCAGCACCACTGCACGTGCGCGAGAGAGAGAGAGAGACAGTGTGCAACCGCCCCGAGAAAACCTCCACGGGCACTGTCGGCAGATTCCTTGGCGGTTGGCACGGCCGGGCAGGAGCGCATTAATCACTCAGTGCAGAGGTTCCCCCGGTTCGAGCCTAGTGGCCGCCCTGGTTAATGGGACAATCACGAAATAAATGTGTCCCGTCTGCTTCGCAGTGGACGTTAAAAAAATCCATTGTTGTTTAACCCTTTCCAATTCTGATGACGTGTACGTCATCAGTCAAAAATAAAATAACTTTATTGGTACGTCTTCAGGTCGGAAGACTAGGCTATGCGGGACGGCATGTGGCACAGGTTGGTGCCAGCTTTCATAGAGTGCGATCGTGTCGCTACAGTTCTCTGCGGTGAGTACAATGTCTTTAAAAACAACGGCGCTGTGCCATTCTGGCGAATTGCCTGATGATGCTGAATGTAATTACCAGCGAAATGTCGTACTCAAAAAATGTAAATGTTGTGGATTCACTCTTCAACACACCGGTGGGCTAAAGTCGTGAACTATTTGTCTTTTGTCAACGTGACACTTTTTTTGCTGATTGGCCGTGTCGGGTGGTGGAGGGTTACGACACATTTATAAATAACTCGATCTAACCCAAAAACGTTTATTATGAATAATATTGGTCGCGAAAGCCTACGTGTTAAACTGTGCCTCTATGGATAAAATAAACGCTAACCGTTTGCGCGTTCCGAGATTCAGCAGTGAACGGGACCCACCCTGCAACTTGTAGATATCTCGGAGTGGGAAAGGGTTAAAAAAATAAATATCGAAGGCCGTGTGTGCTGGCGTCACGACCTAAATTTCCCGAAAGAAATTAGGAGTTGCAATTTACCGAATTGGGTAAAGCCACACAGCAACATCGCCCCCTACTGTGAAACAACTGCGCACACTACTCGTCTGTAAAACACAGTTCCTTTGTGATAGCCTCATGTTGCACGAATGTCTGGAATACCAAATGTAGGAATGTTTTGTTTTGAATTAAAGGAGCACGGGTTGGTTCGTGGATCACACAAATGTCGTGAAGCTTCCTTCGCGTGGCTATCGAGGTGTCCTACACTGGCTTGCCAGGAGAAAGCGGTGTAGCAAATGTGCACTCCCATCCGTTTCATCTGTAAGGGATAGAGTGTTGCCCCCTCGCCCGCATGGGTTTTCCTCAGAGTACTCCAGTTTTCTCTCAAATGTACTCATTAATTGACTAATAACACCTGAATGTGTTTTTTTCAACTTCTTTCACACCGTACGTAGCCAACCGTGCTAATCGGAGGTGCGGGGGAAGGACAACAAACGAAACACACACAAAAACAGTTCTAAATAAATTAGTTTTCAATCTAGATTCAAAAGTGCATATCTCCAGCGGCTTCCGAATATCGGAAGAGATCGTTCCAGACGGCTGCAGGTGCGCATCTGAAAGCGCACGATGAGTATATATAGAGGACCTCAGAGCTTGGGAGGGAATTTGGCACGGGTTCACCGCGTGGCTACCTTTCCCACTTTTCCGTAGTTCCTCGCGCCGCTGAGCCGTTCTCTCTCTTCCAGTGAGCGAGTACCGTGCGGCGGGTTACAAGTTGATACTATTATTATTATTAACGAACAGCAGTGCCCCCAGTGCCCCCCATGCTCCCCCCCCCCCCGTTCACCGGGGTAGGGAGGCAGTAAAGGTCAAGTTATCGAGGTCAATGTAGCCAATGCTGGTATCGCTTCCTTCCTTCTGCCAGATCCTAAAGCAGTTGCACAGCCGACACCCGATCTCCAAAGTATGCACTTACAGTGTACCACTTGTGGAGTTTTATTTTGAGGGTACGAATGTCACCCTCCCCCTCCCATATTGAGTGCCCTGCCCCGCTCCCCCCTCCCGTGATGCCCCTTGATCACCGAGTCCTATAATCGAGGTGGCTTATGGCTCAGGGTTTAGAGGACTGAGCTGGCACCATTAATACGACTATACGTGTGTGTATGTGTGTCACAGTGGTCAGACGATTCCAACAATTCAGGTTTAAAATTTCGATGATAACTCTATAGGTAACTGTTATATGTACTTCATCGGAACCACCCCAGGTCGACTCAGCCTAAAATAACGACAAAATTACTATATGGTAGAATTACGACTGGTGGGTGGACTAGAGTACTAACTCAATCATTAAATTCAACTTGTATTTCTTCAGTTTAACACGTAGGCTTTCGCGACCAATATTATTCATAATAACGGTTTTTGGGTTAGATCGCGTTTATTTATAAATGTGTCGTTATTATGAATTGTATATCTTCATGGTACCTTTCTTAAAATCAAGGCCTCTGTACATAAATGACTATATATTACACCGTTCTTCTTAGCCTCCCATTATAATCGATCTGACACCAGCTCATAGACCCAGACTGGACAGCTCATGTATGATTGGTCAGTGGGAGAGCAAGTGCAGAGCTGGAGGAAGGAGAGGACAGCTCCACGGAGATCGGCCGTGCCGTGGCCGTACCCTCCCGTGTTGCTCTTTTGTCGCTCCACTGCCGGACGAGGGGTTGCTTAGCAATATAACACCACGCTGCATGGTCACTGCGGGATGACGAAGGCGAGGAAGCATAGAGGATGGAGCACAGTACCGCACAGCAAATGCATTTTTCCACACTGCGCATCTGCTGACGACAGCCCTCGACGTCCGTTTCATGCGTGGCGGTTGCCCGTCCGAGGCGCTCGAGCCGGGTCTGGAACCTCGCCTGCTTAGTTTGCGAGCTCCGACACGAATCTGGCGCACGCCGGTTGATTTGGTCACGGGCTCTCGAGCGCGCTTGGGAAGCTCTGAATGGACGAGCCGCGGTGTCCCGGGTTACTCACAGTCGGTGACCATGCCGACAGCCAGACACTTCTTGAAGCGGCACTCCTGGCACTGGTTGCGGTTGATGCGGTCGACGGTACAGGTCTCGGAGAACTTGCACACGTACATGACGTGCAGGCTCTTCTGGATGGTTCGGCGGAAGAAGCCCTAACGTGGAGCGACGCGGTTCGTGGAAGAGACAGAGGGGAGAGAGGGAGCGGGTTTGGGCGGGGGGGGGGGAGAGGTACGGAGTTGGGGTGTTGGCGGTTGGCAGCAGAGGAAACATTTTTTAAAATGGCAAAAATGAGGAGCGAAACCCCGGTGGGCTGGATAAATGACGGTGAAAACGACTAATAACTGAATGTCTTTGAGGCGGCCGAATTAATATGTGTCACATTAATGAGCAAAGCGGTCTAAATGGACAAACCAGCACATGCAATACCTTAACCCGTAAAGCGCAACCACGCATCGTTTTTGGCTTTCCCCCAAATGTGATCCCAATTGTACGATCAGCGGGCATAACGTCAGGAGACGTAGAACCAACGCGGACCTCTCACGGAGCAGTGCAGCCCTTTGTGTTAGAACACGGCCCTTGATAAGGGATACCACCGAGCTACTTATGAAATCTCATCAAAGTCACCTCTGGTCCACACAGATGATGGCAGCACTTTCTTACTCACTCTGTGCCACCAAAATAATGTATTTTTTATTTCTCAGGGCTGGAATTTAGCCACATTGAGTGCAGGATAAAAAAAAGAAAATTACACGATGGGTTGTGTTTTTTTTGTGTGCAGTCATTGTTGGTGACTGGTCCGAGACCACTGAGTCGCTCGACATTTGAGAAGCCCGTTTGATCAGAGGCGGTTGTCCCGGTTTCGAACCCAGAATCTCACTGGCGCCAGCTCAGCGCTCGGGACCTCTGAGCCTCTGAGCCACCCCCCGGCCATTTTGCATCACAACTCGTTTCTCACGGCGTCGGTATCCGCAACGGGTTTTTTGTTTTGTTTACGGAGAAGCCGGAACTTGCTTGCTGTGCCCGCGTGCGTGGAAGAGGAACGGCATTGCACCTTGCATCCCTCGCAGGTGATGCAGTGGTAGTGGTACCCCGTGGCCTTGTCACCACACACAGCGCACGGCTGCCCCTCCAGGAGGTAGCTGGGGATGTACACTGCGAGGGCACACAGCACACGAGACGGTTCGGAACGATCGGCTGATCAAGTAACGCTTTTTCCCGCTTGCGTTTGTCCTCGGAAGTATTTCCTTTAAAACAACAGTGCGGAAGCCGATGGGTAGCCATCATATACGTGAATAGCCCTTGTTGACTTTTAAAGGGTTTGTCTATTACTTTATATCTACTGATGGGTAACTGGTCATATGCCAATTTTAGTCTGTTCATCTGTAAACATTCTTCAAAGTATGTTTGTATCAGGGCCGGCATGGTGTATAGTGCAGTTTTAATCTATTATTTACTCAATCCCTCTGGCCTTCTCCATCTCTCTGCTGCGAGGAAGGGAAGTTGCCCAAATTGTCACTTATTTTATATTTTGTCCTGCTCTGTAGAGCAGTGCTCTTGACGGATTTGTTGAGTTTTGGCTCTTTGTTTGGTGTCTCCGAGTTTTGGGAAAACCCTTTCATAAATTGGAGCAGTTTTGAATAGTGTATGCTCATAATACTATCAACACATTTACTACAGATCTGTCCATATCAGATCACATTTACGAGAGTTATAGTACCACTCCAGACAAGTGGACAGAGTAATACATAAACGCCTTCAGCCTTAGTTGGAAAGTATCTATAGGAATTGGTTATCCTTCGTTAAACATCACGACACAAAGTTTGCAGGAAATTACACATTCACTAGGAGACCTTGAAAATTACAACTCTCAATGTCACATGATCTGAACCAAATTCCGTTGGTGCATGAATACTGAACGCAAAGCCATAATTTTATTGTCGTAATTTCATACCTGTCAACCACTTATCAGTGCCTACCTTATTACAAACCAATTCAGACCTTATTGGTCACCCCGGTCCCCTTATAAATCACTACGTTCATCCTACAAAGTCCCATCACAAGGGAGAAACACAAACAAATAGACAAAACAAAATTACCCGAATTGAAAGGGTTGTACGCTGTATAGAAACTAAAAACTCGATTTCCCTGTACAAGAATACGGGGTAAACCGTATGGGTTGACACGGTGTGTAAATTTCATCTATTTGTCCACTGTGGGATGAAGGCGCCTCCCGACGCCATCTCGGTAATTGGAACATTGGTTCGTGCTGGTGGAGTAGGCACCCAACACCATTTCAGATATCACTCGCCACGGATATTAAGCGTGCCTGGGGATTGAACTCAGGTCACCAGCCACCAGGTTGGTGCCGCAGTGTGCGAGCCACTGTGCCCCGACACTCCACCCCACGCACTTTCTGATGCCCATGTTGGCGAATGTTTAAATACAGGGGGGTGCTTCAAAAACAATGTGAACACTTTGGAGAATTCGCAACAATACCACGAGAAATGTGCTGCTGCCTCCGGGCTCTGGAGACCACCAGGAGAAGATTCCAGGCCACGCGTTGACAATTACGGGGAACGAGTGGAGACTCTTTTTGAAGCTATTAACATACATTTGTTATCATCTTACAGTGTATTAACCGTTGTTTTTCCATTAAACACGATAGGTGTTAACATTTTTTTAAGCACCATGTATTGCCTCATTCCTGACTTTGCCTCCGCCACCAACAATGAGGCATATTGCCGACGCTGCGCTTCAGCGATTTGGTTCGATCTGGGATATATGACTATTTAACTAATCGATTACTCTCCCGATCATCAGAATCGATTATATTACTCATCGGAAAACCCGAGCGTAGATGCGTCGAAATATCTCACATCCGTTCCAGTTCTGCGAGTCTTATGTGAGTCTATTATTGCCTGTGTTCGTCTATGGGTCTCTTATGTAGGTCATTGGTGACCGGACCATCAATTCGCTACACCTGAGAACCAAATTTCATCGCAAGGTGGCTAACAACCCTATTTGAATCCAGCAATCGTACCGGTGTTCTGACCCCCCACCACCACCACCACCTAATCCACCCAGCCACCTGAGCTCTCACCCTTCTTCCCTTGCTTGTCGTCGTTGCCCGTGCGCTCGGGGAACTCCCGCTGGAGTTGTCCGGGGTCCCCGTCCGCCGCCGCCGCCCCGTCGACCCGCTGGAACTCCGCGCCCGAGTGCCGGGGCGTCGCGGCGCTGCCACTCCGCTCGCCCGTGTCCATCTCAACCCCGCGCAGGCACGCGCGCTGCACCGACGGTTGACAGCAACAACGCGCGGTCACACGACAGACAGAGAGAGAGAGACAGAGACGACCCGGGGGCAGGTGCGCGCCGCTCGGGTCGCGTTCATCCACTCAGCTCTTGTTGATCACCGTTCAGGGGCTCGTCTATCCATTGTGGAGCGTGCAGCCGGCTCCTCGGTGTGTACAGACCCGTAACGGCGGTGGTGTAGGGGTGGGGGGGGGGCAGCTGACGACTTAGCTCCCCATTCTAAGAATGTTGTGGTCAAGTCAAGAAATGTTGGTACAATATTTAAAACAAGCGGAGGGGCGCTAGGTAAAGTGCAAAAACGAGGGGAAATAAGTGGTGACCTTCACAGACGTTCCTCGTGATGTTAGAAGCTATAGTTATTATTATTTTTACTACTAATATGTTTGTTTACCCAGGAAAGCCTCACCGAGTTTCAAGACTCTTTTCAAGGAACATCCTGCCAAGTTTGTTTTCAGTTGAAGGCGATGTTGCTATGTGTTATCCAAATTGAGTGATTTGCAGGTTACTTTTCAACGTCGGAATGTTTGGCCAATACCACTTACTTTGTATGTGTTTTTTTATTGTTTAAGCTACGGGAGGACACTGGAGAACTCGTAGGATACCCATGATGAAAAGGGGGACACATGTAAACCCCACAGAAAGGTGCCAGAGTCTGGAATTGAACCTAGGATTTTCTTGGCGTGAGGCACAGGTCTCGGCAGTGCGTCATGCTGTTTCCTATAAACCCAGGGGTCTAGAGCTCGAGCTGAATGTACGACAGACATAAGCAGATTGTATCATTACCCGCCAAGATGTTGTACGGTCCCACTTTATATAAAGTCACTCACTCTGTGTCAAACTCGTTTTCCGTGGGTTTTGTCCGGGTGAATCTCAAGATTCCTGATTCTTGTGAGTCCCCAATTCTCAACAATGCTGATGTTGATCACACAGAGTAGATGAATGGGCAATACCCATTCATGAATTTAAAAGTGAATGGTGCAATGAAGATTTTCAAATGCCTGTGCCCTTCACGTAATTACAGCGCTCTTGCCCACAGCTTATAAAAGGTCAAAGTGCAGCCCTGCAGTTGCCTAGTCACAACCACTGCTGGCAAAAGGACCTCCACGTAAGGGAGGGGGGGGGGGGTCTAGAGAAACCCCGTCTCAAAGGTAATTGGCCTCCTCTTCCACACCAGTCAGACATCTTGGAAGAGTTGAGAGTATCTCGCGCTTTACCCCCACGACCGACTGCGGTGTCAGAATTTGTACTGCTGCGTGGACAGTAGTGACGGGGAATTCGAGAAACTGTCACCATTGTTTCACGGAGCCAAATACCTGTGCGGTGCCGATTACCAACGCCACGAACGTTTTTTTTTTCATACAAAGCGGAGCGGAATGGGCGATCTGGAATCCGTACATAAGTGAAGCGTGCAGTGAAGAATTACAATGCCACGCGATAAATGACAGTGCCTGTATCCCCAGAGTTCATGCATCCTCTGAATACGTTGCTTGCTGTTGCTGTTGGCACGGGCAAGCTCCACAGATGTGCGCACTTTCTGTCTCAGCTGAGTGAACAACGCTGGCGTCAGTGCCATCTGCACGCCACACGCGTCATGGGCTCCAAAAACGTAAATCTCGAATGCAGGTTTAAAGTGCAACGTTTAGAACCGATTAAGAGGTGGAAATGCTCGAAATGGTGCTCACCTCAGGGGCCGATCTTCCTTGCCGCGGAAGGGAACTGCACTTCTTCTAAGCCACCGCGAGACGCGGCATTTTATTCGGTGGCCGATATAAAAAAAAAACGCGCTGAACGCCGCCGTGAAATGTACCGCTGGTCGCCAGGACCCCGGATTGTAGACGAGGGCCATCGCTGGGAATTGAGCCAGCGACGCGGCTGTAATGCTCAGAGCGCGGAGCTGCGGATACATTACGCTCGCCGTAAACAGGACGGGGAACTTTTGGGTGGCGAGCTGTCTGAGCACATAATAATTTGAGCTGATAAATATTTGCGGCGGTAAAAGTGTAAAAATAAATAACCCCCCCCACCCCCCCCCATTACCGTGCTTTCTGTGCTTTCTGTGCAAGTGTGTCAAGCGGTCATCCTTTAAGGCGGGGTATGTGAAAATTCAGTTGTGGTGCGACTTATTTGCCAATGCTTTTAACGCGAAGATGGGTGTCAGACGAAGGATGTTACTCTGAATGGGATCTAAGACATTTATTAGTCAATCAATGAATTAATTACTATGCAGACCTTTGTCAATCCACTGCTGGATGAATGCCTCCCCACGCCGTGTCGGTAACGGAGGTCGTTGCGGTTGTTTAGCCACGGTCATCAGTGGGGGGAGTGCGGATCACACGGGACTGGTTCAGATATCACGCGCCTCTGATGTTGGCCACGGCCAGAAATCATCCTCGGGTCTCCCGGGTCCATAGCGCAGTGTGCCAACCACCACCGCACCACCGCTTGCCCGCCTTCATTCATACCCTTAGCATAATTTACGTGTTGCAGACTACACATAGCTTGACCGTGCCGTAATGTTGTTATTATTATTATTCTATCACTCCCATAGAGACACCTCGACAAAGCCAGAGGCCGGTAGTTGAAGAGAGCTGCTTTGCAATATGATCGTTTTATTTGCCCTTTCCGACCAAACGATGCAACGACGATGAGTCGCATCTGTTTTAAGCACGCCGGTCTCTTGCACCGCAAGCACGTGCGTGGAATGTCGCTGGCAAAATCGAGTATTTGGCTGCTGTTAAATACAAAAAAAAATGCCGCGTGATAAGCCACTTCGTTGAGCTATCGTTTGTGGCCAGGTCGCTTCTGAAAAGGAGCTGTACGGCTCAGTGGGTCGTACCTGGTAAAATAAAAAATATATATTTATAGGTTTTTTTTTTAATTGACGCCCTCCCGCTGGGCAATCTGGGGGTTTCCCCGATGCCGTAACTGTTTACTCGCTCATTGCTCATTTGAATCATTTGGCAGGACCACGGGGTCCCGTAAAAATCAGGTGAATAATGATTATTTTTCAGTCCGCCCACTCGTGATCGCCAAGAAGTACTTTTCGATCCCCGCCGATTGCCTCGACTACTATCCAGCCATCCCGCCCAATCTCGTCGCCGAGTTGGACGACGACAGCAACGCGCCGCCCGCCCAGACTCGCGCCAACAAGCGCCAGCAGCAGGCGGCGATCACCACGATGGGCGCCACCCCACCGGCCAAACGCGAGCCCCGGGGGACGTCCGCCGCAGTCGCGCGCGGCGACAACGCCCTCCGGTCAGCCGTCGATCCTCAGCTTCTTTGCCAAGGCGAGCCCGCCCCTCCAGGCAGTGAATTTAACGTGTTTGTGAAATTTTTCAACTTTTTATGAAACTTAGTGCCCCGAGTAGCTCTCGACGAGGCCAATCGATTGACACTAGTTTTGTTGTTGTCGGTAAGGCAACAAGACTCGTGTCGCTACGTGGTTTTTCCCACCCCGGGGCAGTGATGGGACCCCGGGGTCCCGCCAATTGCTTCATTTATCCGTTGTTGGATTTTCATTTTTAAAATATGTACACGGGAGTTCCACCCCTGTAGTGTGATCTCGTTTAACTCGGGAGGTGGGCATACGAAACTCAGTGGGGGGGGGGGGGGGGGGGGGGGGGGGGGGGGCACGAGGCAGCCAATGCTAAAAAAAACATAACTTTAAATAAATGTGCAACGTGAAATAGATCGAGTGACGAGGCTGTGTGTATTGTACCGATATTTTGACCGCACTGTAAGAATCTATGAGGGCTTCAGCAGGGAGGGGGTGCTCAGTCCCCTTCGAGCCGCCCCCCTCTACCTCCGGCCCCAACGCTGCAGGGCCGCACAGTCTCCACTGGGAGTGGGTTACCTCCATTGCAGTGGAGCGGCCTTCACTGCTCAGGCAGTGGCGGTGAGCGAGGGATTGTCGGCCGCGTGCACGCGAGGCCCATCGCACGCATTCCATCGCGACGGTGGTCATCGACAGCGGTGTTCTTCATTGCAAGGCTCGCGGGCCACTAGCGGCCCATGGTGGCCTTTAGTGCGGCACCACAACAATACACAAATGTGAAAATCCAAGGGTTTCAAATGTGTGGCGGCCCTGACACTGATGTCTTATTGACGAAAGTGCCCCCCGCCCGTCACCTCTGAAAATGAGTGAAGAACACTGATCTACAGGATGCTCCCGATGTCTGGTGACCCCCCCAAATAATGGAGCCCTAACATTTTTTTTCATTAGCATATTCATTTCTGTTTTCCAAGGACCTTACTTAAAAAAAAAGTTTTAGAGAATCAAGTAGAAATGACACGACATCTGGACCACCCTGGACATTCAAGCTTCGCGGACCACAGTACGCACACGGCCTCCCTGCGGTGGCGCGGTGAAGGTGACATCTCAACAGATATAACCACCAGATCGTCCGCCCCACGGTCAGTAGCGTGACTAGCGTGCGGGCAGGGGGTGCCTTGCCCCCCCCCCCCTGGTGGCCAACGCTACGAGTTGGGGCCCTCTTTGACAACCACCGCGAGATGTGTATTGAAAGGTTTAGTATTGGAAGTAATCGTTTTTTCCCGTAAAGAAACGTAGTGTAACGTAACGAAATGTAATTTGTTTTGAATGACAGTAACTTGAGTAAAATGATGACGTCGTCCCGCACCATTTAAGACAGGAAGCAGGTGGATGGCTTCACTATTCTGGCTAATCGCCCGAAGATGCTGGATGTAATTACCAGCGAAACGTCGCACTCAAATGGTAAATGTTGTGGAGTCACTCTTGAAACACACCGGTAGGCTGAAGAAGTAACTAATTGGCGTTTTGTTAACGTGACACATTTCTTACTGATTGGCCGGGTCGGGTGGTGGAGGGTTGCCACACATTTCTACTTTACGATCTAACCCAAAAACCTTTATTATGAAACATAATCAAGTTCAAAAACATCATATTGACTGTGTAAAAAAAAGTGTGATTGGGCAGGATGCATGATTATAAGGG